TATCTAGTAAATTAGATATTTAAATTAAAAAAATGTATTTAAATACAAAATTATTATTATTATTATTTCAATTTACATTACATTCATTAAATATCTACATAAAGTTTGTATTTGTAAATTAAAAAAAGAATTTTGTATTTATAAATATTGGTTAATAATTAATAATATTATAATATTATTTAATTATCTTCTTTTACGTTTTATGTAAATATAACATAGTTAATACGTTTCATTGCAAGTTTTATTTTTGATTATTTTTGTTGTTATTTTCAATTTACTTTACCTGCTAATTTATTTTACTGAGAGTATTAATAAATCTTTTATTACAAAAAGGTTATTAACTTATTTTAAAGTATAATATTTATTATTATGCAAATTTCTTTGTAACTTTGCTGACTAAACAGCAAAAACATAAATAAAGAGTTTTTGAATAATAAAAATATATTAATAAAATAATTTACTAAACTTTAAAAAATCTTAACTCAAGATTAACTGACGTCAATAAAAATTTTAAACTTTTGAACGAATGATCATATTAATGTATGGGCGCTTGTTAATAACGGTACGTGTTTACACATTAAAAAAATCAATCAATTTAATTCATTTTTTTGTCATGCTTCTAATTGCGTTTTTTACTTGTCTAGCGCAACACTTAAAATCTGAGACTAATTTAATTTTTTTTTTTTTTACTATAATCTTATGAACCTTTGGGAATATGAAACCAATTGGGAATACCACGTTATATGTGGTGCCATCAGGCTGGTTAACACCCTGCGTAAAAATGTCTAAAAAAAAGGTCTTCTTGACTTTTGGGGCCTCTAACGTTACAGGGCCCTGGGCTATAGTCCTTCTAACCCCAACCTTCCTTAATTTAGTACTACAAATAAGACATGAGTACATAAATAAAAATTATATTACACTCTTTTATAAATAAAATAACTAGGGCTGTACCAAATTTCGGCTCCGGCTCCTGCTCCGGCCGAAATCCGGCCATTTTTACAAATCCGGCCCAAATCCGGCTCCGGCAAAATGTTAGCAAATCCGGCATAATTTTGGCCGGATTTCTGGATGTTTATTTCATCTTTCTTACCCGTGATAACATGTATACATAATACTTAATTTTTGAACTTCATGTTTGTTTTGGTATCTGTATTTACATTTTTTTACAATTTAATTAGCTAAGCCTAATTTCAAACAAGAACGCAACAAAAAATTCTAAAGAGAAGACACACGATATTCTACAATAATGCAGGTGTAAAGACTATGAAGTCAATCCTAATCAACTCATTAGATGAGCGTTTCAAAGGCATTGAGGAGAAAGCTTTTTAGATTGAAAAAAATAAAGAAAATCCAGCAAAACAATCCCTGCTGGATAATTCTTATACATTATCATCATTACAATGGCAATATATATAGATGAAATTATTCATTCTACGCCCGCTTGTGGCACAGCACATGAACAACAATTACCAACAGGCATTGACACTCAGCTAAGCCAATATCTGGAAGAATCAGAAATATATAGACACGCTGATTCACTACAGTGGCGGAGTGACACCATCCCGGGAAAAAAAGTTCTGTAGAATTTCTCTAAATTTTTGAAACATATGGCCTATAGAAACTCTATAAAATTTATATAAAATGTCTATTAATTTCTATAGAAATTGCTATAAAACTTTTAAACAACAAAAATGATGTTTAATAGAAAACAACTCGACGGGCATTTGTTTTTAAAAGTTACGTTCTGAATGTGTTTTAAATGTCTTTTAAACGTCTTTTAAACATTAATGTTTAAAAGACGTTTAAAAGACATTTAAAATACATTTAGATCGTAACTTTTAAAAAGAAATGCCCGTCGGAAACTGTCACTTGGTGATCTAAATAGTCAACATTGTTGACCATTTTCAACACCAAGTAGGGATATTCAGGATTTTGGTTTCTGTAGTTTTGCTTCAAAATCCGGCTCCGGCTCCGATTCCGGCCGGATCTGTTAGTAAAAATCCGGCAAATCCGGCTCCGGCCGGATTTGGAAAAATTAAATCCGGTACAGCCCTAAAAATAACATTTGTTTCCTTTTTAAGCAATTGTAAGATGTTACTTTATTTAAAAAATGTCACTTAATTTTATAAAACAATTATAAAAGAGCAAAGTTTTAAAAATATTTGTTCTAAATGTAATTTATTTTGCTTTAAGTTTTTTGGCATTAAAAGATATTTTATTTTTCTAGTTTATTATTATTGTTATTATTATTTTGCAATTGTCTCTCATCGGTCCAAATAATCTTTTTTGCGCTTTTTTCTTAATTATTTGGAAATGATCTTAAAACGACTGAAAAATCTAGCCAGTTTTTCGCAACTAAATATTATTTCCGTGGTCAGTAATCAAGAGCGATCGCTCTCGCTTTGCGACCAAGCCTATATAATGATACTGAGTCCAATAAACTTTTTTTAGTTGTGTAGACAAATATCAAATTTTAGCAAATATATCAATTGTTGCTTTTGGTTTTTAATATTTGCTAGTCGCAAATTATTTTCAAGAGACAAATATCTGAAAAATCAATTTAATAAAAGCAAAATTTGTTTTTTAAAAGGCTTTTTCAATTTATATTTTAAATTGAAGTCGTTTTTTTTTTCGATATAACTATTTTTAAATAAATAAAAATACACAACACTTTTTCATGTTAAAAATTGTTAAAATCAGAGGCTTACAACAAGTCATTACATTAACATGAGCATAAAAAACTTGTTAGTGGTAATATGGTGTCACAAAATAAATTAGTAATTAACAGTTAAAACCTGTTTTGTTATTTTACCAGTAAACAAAATTACTTTTATAATAATTTTTGGTAAATATATATTTTTGATAAAATTTGGCATGCTGGTCTTTTGCATTAGCTCTCTTCTTACAGCGTACCAGGTAACATCTTTAAGATTATTGAATCCTTGTTAAATAATTGTAGTATAAATGTTGTACTCAAAGAACAGCACTCTTCTTTGTTTCCTGTAACTTGAGGGGTTCCTCAAGATTCTATCCCTAGCCCTATACTTTTTTAAATTTACATTAACGATCTCTCTAAAATTCTCATGTCTAAGGTGGCATTGTTCGCTGATGATCCCACCTTTTATTTTTTTCTTGATAAGAAGCCAATACTCCTTGATTGCTTGGAGGTGGCATTGGAGCTTGAAAAGGATCTCACTTCTGCTGCAGCATAGGGCTCTTAGTGGCTGGTGAGTTTAGCTTGGATAAAACTCAATTTTTTTCGGCTGATCGCTACTGCAACAATCTAGATCTTCCTATTTTTATGAAAGGTACTCAATGAGTCATTTACTGTTCTTCTAGGATTAATTCTTACTTCTGATTTTTCTTAGAAACCATATATCAAATTCATTGCTAATTTAGCATCTACTAAAGTTGTATTTCTTTATCATGTTTGCCACTTTCTTACTCAGGATCTTATGCTTTTTCTCTATGAATCTCAAATCCGTCCTTGTATGAAATACTGTTATCATATCTGGAGCCTTTTCTCTATTTGACAATGGTGCCTTTTCTCTATTTGACAAGGTGCAAAACACATTATAAACATAGTTGGACCTAGACTTTTAACCAACTTACGATCATGATCACATTGTCGTAATTTTGCTTCTCTTATTTTCTATAAATACTGTAATAGACACTACTCTAAAGGGTTAGCGTCTTTTGTACCTTTTACTAAAATTAGTTCTAGTGTTACTCATCATTCAACTAATCTCATCCTTTCACTGTGACTTATTTGTCTAGTTTTTTTCTTCTAGCATCAGTTCTTCGGAATTTGCTCCTTTCTTTTTGTTTTCCTGATTCATATAATTTGCAATCTTTTATGTTGTCTGTTCCAAATCTAATAGTGGTTTCTTGTAGCCTTGTTGGATGTTTTTAAAAAAGAAAATTGCTGATTTTGTTAATTTAAAAGTCTGTTTTTTTGATTTTATTTTTTTCCTAAAATATATTGATTTTAATCAAAATTAAATCATATTTTACAATTGAATTTTAAATGTTTTTTGCAATAGTTACAATATTAAGTTTTTTAAATACTATATATGTATCTAAAAATTAAAAATAATTTTTAGCAGTTTTTACTTTACTTTCTTTATAATACTCTCTGAGTTTAGCAGAAAGAAAATAAAGCTGAACGTAAAAAGTTCTAAATGAAATTATCAAAATAAAAAACCGTAAAAAATCACTGTTGTTAGGTGGGAACCAAATCTAAGTTTAAAAGATAAAAAATACTAATAGAAAAATATTAAATATTTTTCTTTTGTATAATGAGCCTTGTTATTGCCAATTATTGCTCTATAAAAGTAAGATAATTATAATTGGCATTATTATAATATAAGTCGCATAAGATATTGCAATATTATAATCTAAGTCGCATAAGTTATAAAAGTACAACCCATAAACATTAGGTGAAAGTGAACTTTTTGTTTGATTGATGAGGAAAAAAAATTTGTTGTTGTTGTTGTCTTTTCAATTTTTTCAATTGACTCAAATCAATGTTCATTGTCTTATTACAAGAGAAATATATTTGTAATGATTATGTTAAAATTGTGAAAACAATTTTTCTTAGAATTTGAAACATTAAATTGTTTTTAGATTCAAATAAAATATATATTTTAATTTTAATTTCATTACTTTATCACAAATTTAAATGCATATAATATAATTAATAAGGTAAATTTTATGCCTTTAAATATAACTAAACTGTTGCTAGAGTGGAAATGTCAAAAAATGTAAAAAGAAAATATATGTTATAAATATAACATATATACATTTAAATTGTACATTTGAATATAAATAAAGTATTTATATTCATATGTACAATAAATATTGTAAAATGACCCCTCTCAACATGATTTGATGTGGAATTTCCCATTTTCTAAATTAAAATATCTTTGAAAGATAAAGAGTTATTTTTTTTAAGTTATGATTTACAGGTAATTTTTTTTTTTTTTTTTTTTTTTTTACAGATACAGGAAAGGATAATTGAGTATACCAACTGCGAAAACTGTGAGGTTAACCTTGAACCTATGTTTAAACAAGGTACCAGCACCAACTGTACATGTCAATTTTCCATAAACCTAGAAACAAGTTGGAAAGGGGATGTTTTCTTTTACTATGGGCTTTCAAACTTCTATCAGGTAAATATTTATCAATATTTCATAAAATTATATATATTTTTTAAGTATTTATTATAAATAGTTCTCTATCTAAATATTGATTTGCAAGTAATTTATTAGTTTCAATTATTATATTTAGAATAAAATTCTGAATATAATAATTGAATTACTCTGCTCTTTTAGGAAAAAATACGAGAAGCTTAAAGTACTTGTACCTAATAATTTTCAGTCCATGGAGTTCTATTTTACAGATGTACCCTGGGTTTAAATTTATAAATTTCTGTTCTGAGTTTCCTGATTTTTTTTTTCCACAAAGAAGTCCATAAATTTTAACATTTTCTTTCTTTCAAGTCCTTATGGTATTACATACCCTGTATTTAATATAATTATTTATTTTTTGTAATTTTTATTTTTGATAAAGTTAACTTTTATTATTTTTTATTTAATGTAATTGAATATAGAATATATAAAATACAAATGCTACCAGACAACTTTTTAAAAACAACATTTTATGTATAGCAAAATGTTGTTTTAAAAAAAAAATATTTTATAAGTTGTACAGTGTAATAGTTAATGCGGTAGTGGTGTAGTGGTAGAGCGCTCGCTTCATAAACGAGTGGTTCCGAGTTCGATTCCTACCACATCCCTGGTAGTACTGCGCTCAACTTGTTTCTCCGTGCAGCGGCCTGGTTCGTCAAGGTTCGTGTTTCGGAGTTATAGAGTTGAGAGAGGGTTGTTACCACAAATAAGTAGCCTCCTCGTCTGCAGTGGCCTTCTCAGCCTTGAGGAGGTGAATAAAAATAAAAATAAAAAAAATTACAGTTAATAAAGGATTTTATTACTTTTTTTTTTTGAACTCTTTATTTAATACTGCTAAACACAAAAATCCACAAACTAGGTCAGGCTATTTTTGACATATAATTTTTTCATTACATTTTAAACAAAAATTTTTATAATTTGTAAATTTATTTCAAACAGGAAATGATACCAAATTTTTTGTTTGAAATTTTGTGTAGTATAAGCCAGAGATAAAACCTTTGAAAGGTTTTATCTCTGTTCTAACAGTGTTTGCACTAACATATTTTTTTTTAAGCATAATGATTGACTTTCAATAAATAACTTTAGAGAAGCTAAAAAGATTTTTATAAATAAAAACTACTTTTTATAAATGTATATGGAACAGTTGTGTATAATATATGTAAACTTTAAAGTTTTATTTAACAATTATGATATAAAACAAGCTACAGTAAAACATGTGACTTAAATTTTAATTGTAATATTTAAAGAAGAAAAAATCAGTGGTGAAATATATAAATATAAATTTGAAATTTCCAATAACACCTATTTAATTAAATAAAACACCAGGTTGTATAAAATAAATTTCAAACTTTTTTTTCAGCATATTTTTTGTTTTCTTAAAAAACATTTTTTAAGAAAAAATTAAGAAAACAAAAAACATGCTGCAGCCACTAAAAGGAAAATATTATTCAGAATTGTTTGCCTAGACAGTCAAGAAGCTTTAATGAAAAATAAATAAAAGTTTTTTTGTACCAAATATAAGTTTTACTGCTATGCAATAATTACTTGAAATATTTTAGATAATTCTTTTGTGTGTCATCAAAATTTAATAAAAAAATAAAAACAATCTTTGATTATTAAAAGTTCAAATATTTTTTTATAATTAATTAAATATAAATGATATTTTTTTATTGTAAAATAAAGTTTTACAATTAAATGTTATAATCTTGTTATTAGAATCACAGGCGTTATGTTCGTTCACGTGATGATAGTCAATTACATGGTGAGGTATCATCATCTGTCAATTCAAATTGCGATCCATTTGGTAGTTCAGATGGAATAGTTTATGCTCCCTGTGGCGCCATTGCAAACAGCATGTTTAATGGTATTTTTTATAAAGTAATTTTTAGTTATTGAATCAAGAGTTAATTTTGTTTTCTTGTATAATAATTTGTTTCCTCTTTTTAAGTATTTAAAAAAAAAAAATTTCTAGATAAGTTTCGTCTTAAATATAATGGTAAAGATGAAGTTCCTATGACCTATAAAAACATTGCATGGAAAAGTGATAGAACCGTCAAATTTAAAAATCCGTCTCAAGGAGTCCAGGAATTAAACAAGTATAAAAAACCATTATATTGGTTTCAAAATGCTAGTCAACTTGATCTCAAAGATCCAGAGAATAATGGTTTTTTGAATCAAGATTTCATTGTTTGGATGCGTGTTGCAGCATTTCCCACTTTTCGTAAGTTATACAGAATATTAGATCGAGACAACCCATCTGTTACTAATTTTAAAGATGGACTTCCCTATGGAGATTATCAGCTTACTATAAATTATAGTAAGTATATTTTTTTAGTTTATTTATTTGAATACTTTTCAATAAGTGACTTCTTTAGCTGAATCTAGCTTTTCAAACAATCCTGGCTATGGGTAAAAAAATATTATTAACAATATAAAATATATGTGTGTGTATATATATGTGTGTATATATATATATATATATATATATATATATATATATATATATATATATATATATATATATATATATATATATATATATATATATATATATATGTATATATATATATATATATATATATATATATATATATATATATATGTGTATATATATATATATATATATATATATGTATGTGTATATATATATATATATATATATATGTATGTATGTATATAATATATATATATATATATATATATATATATATATATATATATATATATATATATATATATATATATATATATATATATATATATATATATATATAATAACAACATAACTTGCATATCTATATTTATATGTGTGTGTGTATATATATATATATATATATATATATATATATATATATATATATATATATATATATATATATATATATAATAACATAACTTGCATATCTATATTTATATGTGTATATATAAATATATATATATATACACACACACACACACAGTGTGGGACAAAAAACAGTTAATTTTTTTTTTTTTTCGGACTTGTATTATTTATTTAAATTTGAATAAAATATTGTATAATTTGAATTCAAATAAAAATTTCTAAAATCTCTATAAAATTCTGGTTCTTTTGAGACCCGAAAATTGAAAAAAATTTTTTTTTTTTTCAATTTTTTATATTCAGTTAGCTTAACATCATGCCAAAAAGAAACACATGACAGGAGAGCTGTGGAGAGGTGAAAGAGTTGATGATCCAATTACACATCTAAAATGTGAAACCTACTTCAATGTTTTGAATATGAATATAACCCAAATAAATAAACGATTTCACGACTTTAGTAACACAGTTACACATTTTGATTGCCTTGATCCATCAAAATTATTTGAAGAAAATATAAATTCATTTAAAAAATTATGTTAAATTTATTGTAACAATGTAAATACAGAAGAAGCAGTCATAGAGTATGAGACTTTCAATGATGTGTATGCATCAATATTCCCATCACTGACAACTGACATACAATTGAAAGATGTACTTTAGTTCTCGATTGAGAAACAGATAACACCCGGTTCCCCTAACTTGTCTATACTTTACAAAATATACTTGACTCTTCCTGTTACATTTGCTAATGCTGAAAAAAGTTTCAGTAAACTAAAGATTTCAAAAAATTAGTTTAGATCAACAATGACAAATGAATGTCTTTCTGGATCAGCATTAATTTCTATTGAACAGGAGCTTGCTGAAAACATTGACTTTGACTTGTCGATAATTCGTTTTGCTTCAATGAAATCTTTTAGAATTTTAGTAAACTACTTGAAAAGTGATTTTTTTTTTCCTAAATGTTATTTTTTGTAATATTTCTAGTTCCATACATTAATAAATGACTGAACTATTTCAGTAATATTAAATATTTCTTATTTTATAAAAGATAATTGTTAATAAAAATAAACAAAGAAAACTCAAAAAAAATTTGGTTATTTAGTGTCTTATATGTATGTAATATGTGTAATAAAGTCACATAAAAACACCTCCTCCCCCTGCAACACTAAACCTTAATCCGCCACTGCTGGATGGTCATTTTTAGGGTAGCATGCGTAATTTAAAAATTCATCTTTTGTTATTTAAATAAAAATAAAAACAGCGAAAAGCATGCTTAAATAAATACTAGATAAAATAATTTAAAAAAAAACAAGCAGCAAAACAAAATTTAAAAAAAAAATATTTAAATTCTTAATAAAATAATTACATAAAGATTGGCAAAATGAAAGTATTATTCAAATTCTAAATAAGATAGTTAAAATAAAAACAGATAAACATTTTTATTAAACACTAAATAAAATAATTCTCACATAAAAGTGCTTTACAATCTTTTATAAAAATATTTCATAAACAAAAAAGATTTTTTGCAATTAAAATTTTTATAAATGAAGTTATATCTAAAATTAGAAAAAAAATTTTTTTTTTTTTAAATGAAGATTTTTTTTCTCACTTCTTTGATTGGTTTTTAGAGTTTTTTGGTGAAATGCCCCTGAATCCAGAATTAAGTTAAATTTTGTTGAGGTTAATCATAGTTATGAGAAAGATATTCTTATGACTATATAACAATGAAGTAACACTTTCTTTTAATATATTTTTTAAAACCAAAATTAGATTTAAAGAATTTTAAGTAAGGGAGCTTCTATAAATTATGTATTAAGTATATATAAGAGCAGCGCTCAAAATAGTTTTTTAAAGCTTACTGATCAAATGTAATTTTTTCACAAAAACAAGTTATTTTCCCTTGGATTTTTCAAAATTTGTCTTAAAATAGCCAATCATTGATCGTTGATCGGCCATTATTTTGAGCGCTGTAAGAGGGTTACCCAAAAGCATAAAAAAAGGGAGGGAGTGTTCATTTCTAGATTGTAAAAAACCAATGATATATTATTTCTGATTTCTGACCAATCTAAAGGTCAGTTGTTTTTTTTTATTTTGGTAAATTTTTTAAAATTTTCATTACATTGAACATTACCAGTAATTAGGCAAACTAGAAACTGTGACTTAAATCTCTAATAAATGGAATAACTTTTCTGCAAATCTTTCAATTAAATTGCCACTTGTTGTGTAAATATGCTTATATAAACTATATACAATACCGTATGTATAATGTATGCATGCGTAGTTATAAGAAAGATATAGTTTGGAAGCGAACAAAGATGCATTGTTTTAACTCTTTCAAACTGTTTTTTCTCGTTTCCAAACTTCCGAACCTGCACAGAAAGATTGATGTTGTTAGCGTTTGCCTGTTATCTTACCAAGTTGTTTTGTGTTTTCACTGAAATTGCTTTTTCTTGATATGTCTGGTGAAAATTGTGCATTATGTGATTGTTCAGCTTTAAGAAGACAATATGGTCACAATATTTTTTTACCAGAAACAGCTGGATCCACAGAACTTTGTTATGCCACCAGAATCATCTTATTTAACTATTACTAGAAGTATACAGAAATTTTCTTCATGGTGGATATGTTTTTTGATTGTTTAAATGTAAAGAACCGTATTAAAAACATAACAAAAAGGAAATCATTTTTAAAACTTTATAAATCAGTAGATAATTTTTTTGGTTGATTGAATCACTAAAATGATAAATTGTAGGAAGTATCTATAGATCAACTAGAAGGAAACAGTTTAATGCTATATGTAACTACAAACCTCGGAATTTGGGCCAGCATTCGGCAATGCTAACCTTAAAGGTTTGAGGTTGGCAAAAAATTGCTGACCTCGTTTCTATTTTTTATGGTAAGACCTTTGTATCAAATAATTTTTTTCCGACCTCTAAGAGAATGAGATTGGCAAATTATTGTTGTCGTCATTTTTTCCTATTTCCGAGGGTTGTAACTATATAATGGTTTTTCATTTTCAAATATTTTTACAGACCCTGTAAATTGATTCAGAATAAGGCCCCAAAGTTGTAAATCCGGCCCTGCTTAGATTGCTCCACACAATGCCAAAAGTAGAAAATACACTTCAGTGCTTATATAACAACCATTAAAAGATTGAAAAATTTTTGTAAATCCTTCTGGTAATGGTAAATATTTTTGATGCTGCCTTTGCTTCATATTTATTATATACCCCACAATCTTAAACTTAAAATGGTAGAAATAAAGTTATCGTTAAACATGTGCTGTGGTAAACTAATTGTGATCTAGTAAACTATCCTGAAATCATAGTATCCATCCAAATAATCATTATGTCTATACTCTTAAGGTAAGTTTCTACTCATTCATTTTTTCTAGGGGAACAGAAGAAAGGAAAGAAAAAATTATTCATATGAACATGCATAGTATAAGTTTTGATTTGTCTGAAGAAAAATTACACATATTCATGATTATTTTTCCCTTTCCTTTCCAATTCCTGTAGAAATATGGATAAGTGGAAACTCACCTTTATCCAAGTTTCTAAAGCAGATTGTTCAATCCTTAAAAATTTTGCTAAAGTTAAAGAAAAATATATTTCTGTTTTATATTTTACAAATGAGAAATGTATACACTTAATATTTATTATATTAACTAGTTAAATTTTTAATTAGTTAACTTTATTTAACACAGTACTTTTTAAAGTTGAAATAGTATAATTTTAATTCTGTTCTTTCAATTTTTAGGTTAGATTTGAAGTTCTTAGGTAGCCATACCTCGAAATTTAATATCAGTCAAATTTACCAAAATATGAAATGGTTCCATTGCTTCATCAAATTTTATTTTAATTTCAATACAAAATTGCTTTAGGTCTTCATCCTTCAGGAGAGACGACCAAATTTTACATGCATCTGACAATAATTTTGAATCACTTTGTAGCTATAAATATAAACATTTTTATAAATTTATATGGACATTATTTAACATTATATTGAATCCATACAATATTTTTTAATATTTACAAGTAATACAATAAATACCATTTACATTATTTTAGCTGAGCACCCATATGTAAGTAACAGTGTGTATTCCTTTAAAAAACTTGTTTCATCTTTTTCATTTTGTTCTCATTATCTGCACAAATAGCTGTTGTAAGTAGACAAATTTTCTTATAGTTATAGTTTTTTAAAATTAGAGTAAGTTCTATGGTAAAGTATTTATATCATGCTCATAGATCTTCTTAATGTATTTTATTAAATTGAGCACAATATTATAAAGTTTTTTTTCATTTTCTGCATTTATAGAAAAGATTAAATATACGGTCTTTCCAATATGTACACTGTGAGTATTAATTGGATCATTTCTGACACTGCTCCAACTATCTTGTATTAATGTGATAGTACTTCTATTGTTCACAAATTCATAGATACAATTACTTCGTCATTAACTTTATCCAGTAACTCTGTTGAAAGTTTTTTTTCCAGTTGGAGGATCACAATCTGGTTTCAAACAATTTAAAAATCTTTTAAATTCTTTACTTTCTGCAGCATTAAATGGAATGTTGCACACATAAAAAGTTTTGCAACATGCAATTCAAAAACATACTTTTGATTTGAGCTTGTTCTTGATATGTAGTTTTCTAATATTTTTTTTATATGGAAATGATATTGAAATTGAGTAACTACTCCCAAAAAAACCAGAAATGCTTGATACTTCAAAAGATTCTGAAGTAATTGGACTAACAAGATTACACAATAAGTTTACAGATGCTTGAGATTGTCCTTGGCCATCTTCTTAATAGTATTTTTATTTCTTTATGCAACATCAGCAGATTGGTTTTTATTTTCACATTTCTTTAGATAAATTTTAACTCTTTCTATTTTTTGGCTATTAATAATTTCATGGCAGTAGTTGCACTGGCACTTTCTAAAGGTAATTACAGTGCCTACCATACAGAAATTTTGGGGAATTATTGCTGTATATAGGCTTTTTTTTTTTTTCAAAAAAATTTAATACCAGTGCACGAAAAAGTGCTGATGGTTGTTTCTAGGTTGGCATGCACGATTTAAAAAATTCATCTTTTTTTGCTATTTAAATTAAATAATAATAGCGAAAATAATTTAATAAAACCTAGATTAAATAATTTTCGAAAAACTTGGCAAAACAAACATTTTATTTTAATTCTAGATAAAATAATTAAATAATTAAAATGGCAAAAAAATAAATAATGAAATAATATTTTCATTATTAGTTTTTGTTTTATGTTGTTTAAATGGTTTTTAACCTGGATAGAAATTAAAATTTAATGCAGTACTTTAAAATATGCTAATGAAGCCATTTTATTTATATAAACATTTACATATGCAACGCTTTTGTGATATGTCAAGAAATCTCACAACAAGGCCTGTTATGTTATCTTGAATTATTGATAATAGTGTTTTATTTAAAAGTTTTAATGAAGTAATTAACAAGCTCCTGCAAATGCCTATTGAACATGCAAAAATCTGTAAGACAGGCGTTTTGCACTTGCTTATTTTTGGTGAAGCTTGTATATATAATTAATGTTGTATACCTGGTTCTCTGGACTTTTAATCTATTAAATCTAATTTTTATGTTTCTAGAAATTTTTATAGTTTTTTTAAATGATAAAATTCTTTTTATATTAATGATAATTCTTTTTACATTAATGATAATTTATCAATAAAATTTTAGATTACCCAGTTTCTAGTTTTGGAGGTAAAAAACGCTTTATAATAAGCCAGTCATCATGGGCTGGTGGAAAAAACAATTTTCTAGGTATTGTTTACATTGTGGTTGGTACACTTTGTTTAGTATTTGGGTTTGTTTTTCTAATCATCCACACCAAGTATCGAACAAGGTTAGATTTATTATAGTTTTCCCATAAATAGTGTTTTTAAATTTATCATAAATAATTATTGAACAAATTTTGAGTTATATTTTTTATAGAGCTTGTCTTAGTTGACTGTCTTTTTTTACTTTTTTTTTTTTTTTTTTTTTTTTTTTTGTTATTTTTATTTGGTATACAGGTTTTAAGTTATTTTATGACTGTGGGTTAGGAGTGGGAATTTTTAAAGTAATGGATATATGGCTATTAGTGGACTAATAATCTAAACTCATGAAAACATAAAAATAAACTGAAAAATTCAAAAAAAAAAAAAAAAAAAACTTTGCTCAATTCAGTTTTAAAGTTTTTTGAAAAGTTTATAAAGTTGTTTAAATAATTCATATTGTTTGACTATTATATATTGTATATATTTAAATAAAAACTATATTTTAGATGTATAAGATACCAGCGAATTATTATTTAATTAAAGAAATTGCTCATTTTTCTGATATTTTAAAGTCTAGAAATTGTTAGTATGGGAATTTAATTGATAAGTTGCTGATGAATTTTTCAAAGTTATATCAGACAAAGCATATATTAGAAAGATATTATTTTATTTTGGAAATAAATATTGTTACTAGATCAAGAGATGTTATTAAAGAAATCTCCATTAAAGTTTTTCAATTATGGATTAAAATGATAATACCATGTTTTCTGGAGAAATCTAAAAATGCTAAATTTAAAGACAAACTCTTTTATGAAATTCAAAATTCTTATGGGTGCAAAGATTGATGCAATATTTTGACAGAGCCTATTATAACCTATCCACAAGACCTGTCACCTAAAATAAAAGAACTTTAAAAAAAATAGTCGATTGTTTTATGATACAGACAATTCTAGTAGTGAAATTTCAGAAATAGTACAAGTGACACTATCCCATCAAAATTTGCAAAGAATTCTGCTAAGATGGTAACTAAAATAGCTGAAAATGAAGGATACCCAATAATTTGTACAGCAATGATTGTAAAATCTGTACTTAATACAGTTAGTGAGGCATCAATTATTAGATCTGTAATCCTAAAAAAAAAAAAAATTAAACACTCACCAATGTAATAAGCTTGATTCTGTCTTATACTGATTTTTCTGAGGAAATGTGGATCTTACATTTTTTTAGTTGTAGCCAGGGATGCAAATAATCTTTTTGTGACTTTCAAAGCCAAAGTCCAAAAAAGGACTCAAGATTTGAAAATCACAAAAACATTACTTTATCCTAGTTTTTGGTATCCAGGAGCTCTAAAAATATAAATAGGTTTATGGACTACTAATAGGAAAAAAATTAAGACTTTTAGGTTAGAGGAACAATCATTTTTTGAACCCGGAGTCCTTAGGTATTATGGCGGCAAGGACTCCAGGCTTAAAAACAATTTTCAACTCATTAAATCTCATGAATTTTTTTCTTATAGCAGATCATAAGTCAACAAATATGTTTAGAGCTTCTGGACACCACAGGCTTGGAAAAAGTAGAGATATAAAGCCAGAGTCCTTTTGGGTCTTCGCATCCCTAGTTGTAGCACTTGCATTTCAAGCTAGTCTAAACAGGGATTATCTTCCGGAATTCCAGATATTTTTTAGTTTTTCTCGATATCCAAAACGTTTTCCATACATACAAGTTTAGATGTATATTTCTTTTTCACTCATCACTCATACAAAACTAAGAAAAGTTTGAAAAAAAATTAGAAACAATTCAGCTAAAAGCAAAGTTTAGAGAAATATATTTTGGATTTTTTCTGGATATTTTACCCAAACAATTTTCAGGATTTTTAAAATATGGTCCCAATGATCTATACTATATCTTTGTGCAATTTTATTGTCGATTCCTGGGCCAAGTCATGGTTTTCTTGCAGACGAAATAATAAAGATATAACAAACTTAAAATTGGCATTAACTAGAAATTGTCTTAAGTGTTTGAAAGACACTGTGATATTTGGAACAATTGTCCTTTAGACACTAATTACATAAATAAAATGTGCAAAAGATTTCTTAGGAGAGTCTTTAAAGAAACCTTACTAACTCAGAGGCCAAATTTCTGAGGTACCGTAATAAACTTTGATCTGCCTATGTTTTATTGTAATAAAATAGTTTAGTATTTGACTTCTATTTACTTCCATAATTTAATTTTCAAAGGTTTACGACTAAAAATTTAATGTTCTATTAGTATTATCTTTACCCTTAACTACGTAGATCTTTATATGTAGTTTGTAAGGTATTGTCAATCCTATGTAAACTTTTTAATTTATTTTTAAAACTAATAATTTAGTTTATAAAAGTCATTCCTTTAAAAAAAACAAAAAAATTTATTCTGTCCCAAAAAATTATTTTTGAAAAACTTAGCCATTTCAAAATAAAGAGTTTTACACAATGGGCTTTTGAATCAGTTAAAATTATTCTTAAAATACTTTTTATATTAAAAGGCAAATTATTTTTCAAAAAAAATAATGTAAAAAACTCCTAACCCTATTGTGCATATTTTTTTTATAGAATTTATGAGTCTGATTTAAAATGACAGTTGAATGACAGATAAATAAAAGTTAGATGATTTTTTTTTAGGAATTGATAGATTTTTGGAGAAATTTGTGTTGTGCTATTTTTTTATTAATTTCTCCATCTTGTATAATCTTTTGTTTACTTTTGGCTTCTATGTGGGTTTTTTCTGACAAGAATAAGATTATCTAAAAGTCCTCATTCAACTCTTCAATTAACTTATAAATATACAATACTTTTGTATATTTATATGTTTTTATTTACCATAAATTATGTGATTGTAAACATATTTATGAATTAATAAGAGTGTTATAAAGATAATGTAATAAAATTTCAAAATGATTTGTTTTTTTTTGTTTTTTAAATAAATAAAGTAATTTTTGTTTAGAAGATCTTAATTTTTATTATAAAAATTAGCTTATGTTTTTACCTTTATAACTGATTTCATATTATTAATGAATCATTTTTGGGGTACAATATACTTTTTATAAGATATAATATACAAGAACATGAAAAGTAATTTGCAACTAAATGTCCTAGGAATAATATTAGTCCTAGGATAAAAGTCCTTGGAATAACATTAGTCCTAGGATTAATGTCCTAGGAATAACGTTACTGTATATTCACATGAGTAATTAGAAAGAGAGTTTTTTTTCTTATTTAACCAAAACCTTGATGTTTCAGCAAATACTTTAAGAATTACTTGAAATTTTTATAGCAGAATATTCTCACCCTACTAAAACCTTCTAACCTTTTTAGGATTCAGTTTACAGCATTAGAACTGCGTATTGAGAATAGTATTTTTAATACTGATTACTCAAGCTGGACATTTGAAATATAGTTTGACATAAAAAGCGACATAAGAAAGATAGTACAGACTTTTTGTTGAGATTTTGACTTTAAAAGCAACTTAAGAAAGAAGTAGGTCAGACTTGAGTTTGACTTGTGGTGTGACATTTGTTCAAGAGAATTGTTGAGTTTAGTTAATCAAAAAAGGTCAAATACCTTTTTTATGTAACTATTGAACTGTTGAATTTTTTTAATATAGAGCTCCAACAACCGGATAACCAGACGACCAAAGTTATGAACCAGTATGGTTTTGAAAATCATTTTAATGTCAGGAAATGAATAAAAACATTGGCTTGATGAATGTTTGTTTTTTTATTTTGTTTTAATTCTTTTTAGTTTTAATTTTAAATTTCAAATAACATAGAAAAATTTTTCTAAGGATTTTTTTTATTAGCATGAGTTAATGCAATGCATTTTTTTATTTATTTTAAAAAACTTTTCTTTTTCTATTTTATGTTATTTATAAAATATTCTATTGAGTATATGCTTGTATTTTACTTGTAATGAAATTTTACTTTGTTTTTTATTTATGATTTTATAAATTAATGTACATCGTAGCACAGAATAAATTTAGAGGTTTGTGATATTTTTTTTATTATTTTTCGTGTATTTACATCCTTACAAAATCTTTAATTTGGTGCATCATATTCTAAAATTTTATAATCTATTTAAAAATTTTATAATCTTCCCAAAACAACTTCTTATTTTAATTATTTTCTACATTCTTTTTATTGACAATATTTTTTTATAATTTAATATTATTGTGTTTTATTATATTTAACATAATTTTAACTATATTTTTATATAGTTTGTTTTGCTGACTTACTAATAAGTCAGTTTAAACCAACATTTTTTTAACAGTTTAAACAAACATTTTTTTAACAGCCTCAACCAACATTTTTCTAGTTTTTAGACTAACATTTTGTCATCCAAACTAAATATGTTGTGTTTTCTATTATCAATTTTATTTGTGAGGTGTTTTCTTGATTTTTCTTATTAATTTGTTCTCTATCTGAAGGAGTTGTTTGTTTGTTTCCTGTGTTAACCTATCTTTGGATGGTATCACTCTTTAGCATTTTTATAAATGAGTTTTATTTTAAATGTGTTTTATCATTTTTATATCATTTTACCTCTCATTTTATTATTTTAAATGATAAGTTTTATAATCCCACATTTTCCTAGTTATTGTTGTAGCCTATTCTCAACCATAAATCTTCCAAACTGGGTTTTTTTTTCAACATACAAAGACTCTGTTTAGAGAAAAAGGTTGTGTGCAGTACTTCTAGATGTGTTAAAATTCAAACTTTGTACCTTGTACTTACAAAGCACATTATTTCATTATGTCTTTGTCATAAAAAATGGCTATACTAGAACAAGTTTTGTAGAATCTACTAGTGTTTCTCAAAATACTAGTTTTCTCATTTTGTTTTGCCATCATTAAGATGAAACCTGGTATCATTACTTGCTGATTTAATGAAAGACATGCTCTTTTATTATATGCATTTCAAACATGTGTTTCAGTTTTACTAAACAAGCCTGGCTGGACTATTTCTAAAGTATGACATTGATTTTTTATACTTTACATGACTTTAGATTTTGAATAAATGGATCTTTATGACATCATTTCTTGTGACATTTTTTATGCTGAAATAATTTAATAAAATTATTTCTCATTAAATATTCTAGACAGCCATTATGAATTTGTATTGTAGCATGTTCAGTTTAAAAATATTTGTGATATTTAATAAAGGTGCATTTTAGTAAACGAATGGTTTATACACTAAAGTATAACATTCTTATTTTTACTATGTCCTGTGTATTGAACGCACAGTCAAATTTATATACTAAAAAAAGTAAAAAATACATAAAAAATTATGTATATATTTTTGAAACACTTTTCGTTACATATTTTAATATTTTTAACATTTAATAATATATCTAAAAAATTCTTATGTTGTTAAAACTTCATCAGAAATATATTGATGATAAACGGAGCATTTTAGACTTAGATAAATGTGTTATTAAAATCTTGGGTCATATAATACACCCTAATAACTGAAGAAATTTGATTTAAAATATTGATTCCAGTTTTTTATTAATTTTTTTAAATAATTTTTATAAGCCTAAAGAAAAGGTTTAAAAACAAAATAATAAAGTATTAATTTTTTACTACAAAAATAACAAATTAATCATTTAAAAACCTTTTTTAAATATTTAAATCTCTCACATTACAATTATTATTTTTTTGTTTATTGTTGGTGTTAGTTTAATTTGATTGATTACTTTTATATTTATACACAAGTAGTTATATATGATATAAATATATATAATTTTATAAATAAGTTTATTATGGTGTTCAAGACTAGTGTGCAGATAGATAAAAAAAGATCATAATGGCAACCACTATAATTTCTGCTTGCTTGCCTCCGAATATAGATCCTACTAAAGCACATATTGCATTTCAAGATAGAGCACTTCCAAAACTTGTAAGTCTTTTGTGTGCAAATTGTTAGTTTTTTATTTTTTGTTTGTTTATTAATTATGTTATTTTTGTTTTGTTTGTTATTTTACTTTAAGAATGAACAGCTATGTGGTGATGATTTGACAATAAAGCAGTGTGCATTGATGTCATTGTGTGATTTATTACACAATCCTGAATACATTCAACAAGCTATTACTTGCTGTATGTTTTTATTTAGTAGTTCAAAATTATTGATATTTTTGTCTTTCTATTTGTTTAATGATTTTTGTATTCAGCTGTTATTCCAACTTTATTGGTATTATTATGCGATGTTGATATCACTGTAAGAATGAAAACATCAGAAGCTTTTTTACTCATATCTGGTAATCTTTAATATCATTTTTTATATGATATCTTTTGTATCATTGCATTACTGTGTTAGATCCTTTATATGTAGGGCATGCTATTGGTCGCCAAGTTATAATTGAACAGAATGTTATTAATCCCTTGTCTTTATTGGTAATCTTTTTTTTTTTTCTCTCAATTTTTTCAAAACGTTTAAACAGAAAAAGCAATATAAATGTAAATTCTTGAAGTTGTTATAAAAGATTTTAAAATGTTTGAAAATCTTTAAAAGCTTAAAAAATAAACAAAAAAACTACACTTGAGTGGGGTCGTAATAGAGTGGGGTCATAATAAATAGGAGGGTCAGGAATATTCTAAAATTTGATAATCATTTTTGTAAATATCTTTGTAAATGAGAGGGTTAGAATTTTAACAAAGCCTAAAATTCCTAAAAATTCCATTTTTAGTATCAAGTCTATTACAATTATGAGAATAATTGAACTTTAAATATTTCGATTTTGTAGCAATGTGTCGCTAGCTACATATCATAGCTTTGTAACTAACTAGAAAATATCTACAAATCTATAGCTGGTTGATAGCTATATAACAAAAAATTTTTGACAGAGATTTTATTGTGATATAATGCCAAATTGCTGTTTTTCGTTACGATTATAGCTAGCTATTCTCTAGCCGATTTCCCACTGGGATCTTTTTTTAAAACTGATGCTAAATTCTAAAACTTAACATGTTTTTAAAGTATTTTAGAAAATTATTTTAAGGCTAGGCTCTAATGTCCCCTCAATCATAGCAACCTGCTCTGTTGCAGTTATTTTTTCTCCATTTGTGTGAGATAATAATGTCTGGGCAATTAACACTTTTGAGAAATAGAACTCTTTTTTAGAGAAAAAATTGTGAAACAATGTTACATGTCTAGAAAATTAATAAAGAGGGGGAAGGGGAGGGGTAGTGAGGGGAAAAATAAAATAGTTAAAAAACATTCATTTTTTTTCCTCCTAGTTGTTCACCACTTAGGAGTACACATGGAATTATGAAAAAACTCAACATTATGTACTTTTAAAAATATATACTTCATAGAACAAACACTTTTATTCATTACTTATGTGTTTTAAATATTGCCAATATTCTAGTATGTTTTTAAATGTAAAGAAATTAATTTACAGAATGTAAATATATTATGTAAATTGATTACTTTACATTTATTCTGTTTAAAGAATTTCTTTGATATATATCTATATATCAAATGAATCTAAGTATCTATTGTTTTGTTATTTTTATTTAGTTTAATGATGAGTGTTACACTACACGACTGAATGTTTATCATACAATTGAAAGGTTGGCATTGGGAGCCCCAGGTATTTCAGATTTAAGTTGTTAAAATATAAGCTTAATTATTACTATGAATATTTATGCTATTAAAGTATTTATTATAAGATTTATTTTATTAAAATAATAAAGTGTTTATAATAAAATTAATGTTATTAAAATATAAGCTTAATTATAGCATTGAATATTTCTGTTTCTTCAACGCTGCATTTTTCAGGAACTGAATCAGTGGTTGGGTGTGGTTTAATGCCACTGTTAATTGCTAATCTAGAAACAGATACAGACGAAATAAAGGTCTGGATTTTTGGTTTATATTGGTTTAAATCTTCAGCATTTTCTTTCATCGTTTAAATTAGGTAAATCTTTTTTGTTATATGCAAGTGATTTTTTCACTTTTAAAATATTCTTATAAACAAACATTAGACAAATATATTATTAATGACTTAATGATTAAAAGGCATGGTGGAGTAGAAAATTCTACTAAAATCATGTTTAAAAGTATCATTAATATAAAAAGAAATTAATAAAAATTAAAAGTAAATATTTAAAAACCATTTTAAATTTACATAAGATGCCTCGCTATTAAAAATCTTGACCTTGTTAGAATAAAAAATGTTACCATTGCTCTTTTTCATTAGTTAAGAACTTTAGTTAGCAATACAGAAATATGGGTTTAAGATATAACCCTATAATACGTAACAATTAATATCTATAATTAACATTGCAATATATTTCGAAAGAGAATAAATTTGTGTTTAAACAGGCCCGTCTTTAGGTCATCCTGGCCCCACAGCGAAAAAACAGTTGTGGTCTCTACAAACTTTGACTTCTTCCCCCCCCCCCCCCTCCTCCTTTCTATTGTACCAAAAAAAATATGTTTTTCAGCACTATTTTTTCATGGCATACTTAATAGAGCTGATAAGCTATTAGATCTGTAGCAATTTTTTGCTCTTTTTAATTTTGAAAAGGAACTTTTTTGAATACAATATGTAATAACAGCAGAAAGAAATATCCTCAGAATAAGATTGACAATTATGGAATTAATTGAAATTTCTTTGTTCAAATAACCAGAAGTAAATCCATGTGAGTGCGATAGAATCCATTTTTTATATTTTATTAAAAATAGGCAGAGAGCTATACAGCTCACTCCACCATCAATTCAACTTCAACTACTTGAAGCATTTTGTTTGCTTTGTTAAACCTTTCCATATTTTTGCGTCAGGTTAAATCGGCCGTCCCCAGCTGATATATAATCTTTTAAAAGTTTAAAACTGAATCTTGTCAAGTAAAAAAATTGATTCCTTTCCGACTGGCTTCTCCAAACGCCTTGGCCCTGCAGCGGCTGCCTAGGCTGGACATGTGTAAAGACGGGCCTGGGTTTAAATACATACCATATGATTCTCGCTATGATCTTAAGATGGTATAAAAGTGATTCATGTTCAAAAACTACCCATAATATGTTTTTGTTTAATGTATTATTTTATTTAGTTATTTAATGTATTCTTAAGTAATGTTTTTTAATTTTAATGTACCGTTATTATATTGTAAAATGTTTCATTTTTGGTTTATGAACAATATTATTAACATAGCGATAGGGTAGGACCAGGCTAATTAAGCAGTTTTTACTGAAACTAGCAGATCTCTTGAATAGTGATGTACCGAGTACTTGGTTCGAACCCAGGGACCCGGTAATTCGGCTGTTTTCCCGGGTACCCAGAATTGGCCATTTTGTTGCTGTACCTGGCACCGTGTATTTTGAAAGAAATTTTTAATAAACTTTAACCTTAAGTGATGTAACTATTTCAAGTTGTGTCGAAATATTACTAACAGGATTGCTTTTAGTTTAAACTCCAACCAATAAAATTCTTGATATAAGTTGAAGAGTAATACTCATAGACTTATATTAGGAATAACCTCAAAGCCCTATTTACTCGATATAGACTCACGTAAAATATATTTTACAATATATATTTTTTAAATAATCATAATGTATTGCATATAAAGAAACTGATTTATACGCATATTTGAATAGCTTCTTTTTATTTTGAGAGAATTTTTTCACAAGAGAATTTTTAGTAATTAAACTTAAAATGAATGAGTTGTTTCTTTGATAAAATTGAGTTGCGTAATTCACTTTTAAATACAGTTTTTGCTCAATAATCGTTTACAATAACTAAATGTTTCCAAAATTTGCATTGGTTTTAACTAAACAAATGTTTACAAAAACATGTAAGGTTTTCTATTCTCTGTATATTTAAATTTTTTAAAATATTTAAATTCTTTAATTAAACGGAGCTCCACCATAATATAATTTAAAAAAACTTGAATAAATTTTTTTTAAAAAGATTTATAGCTGATTAGATAAAAAAAATAGTGCAATATTTAGTTAAGTCCTCAATATTCTTCACGGTATCTTTAATTCCTATTTTTTGTCATATATATACATAATGTACTCGATGAGTCATATATATCGGTAATGTACTTGATGAGTCTCCTATCCTTCATCTTCTAGGATTAACTCTTCTGATCTTTCTTGGAAACCTTATATCAAATCCGTTGCAAAATTAGCATCTGCTAAAGTCGCTTCTCTTTATCGAGCTCGTCACTTTCTTACTCTGGATTCTATTCTCTATCTCTATAAATCTCAAATCCGGCCTTGTATGAAATACTGTTGCCATATCTGGGGTGGATCTTCTAATGATGCCCTTTCTCTTTTAGACAAGGTGCAAAAACGCATTGTAAACATAGTTGGACCTGCTCTTGCAGCCAATCTTCAACCTCTGTCACATCGTCGTAATGTTGCTTCTCTTTCTCTTTTCTACAAATACTATAATGGGCACTGCTCTAAAGAGCTAGCGTCTCTTGTGCCATCTACAAAAATTCATTCTCGTGTTACTCGTCATTCAACAAAGTCTCATCCTTTTTCTGTTACTGTTCCTAAGTGCTCCAAAAACTCTTATTCGTCTAGTCTTTTTCCTCGAACATCAGTTCTTTGGTATTCGCTTCCTTCATCTTGCTTTCCTGATTTATATAATTTGCAATCTTTTAAGTCGTCTGTCAAACGTTATCTTGCTCTACAATCTTCATCTTTTCTCTTCCAGTAACTTCCAACACTAATTAGTGGTTGCTTGCAGCCTTGTTGGAAGCGAAGCTGTTAAAAAATATATATATATATATATATATATATATATATACATAAAATCGTCGGAAATAGGGTCGGCATTCGGCAATGCCGACCTAACTGCCGACCTGAAAGTATTTGAGGTCGGCAAAAAATTTCCGACCTTGTTTCTATGTTTTGCGGTCAGACCTTTGTATCAAATAATTTTTGCCGACCTGATGCCGACCTCAAAAAGATTAAGGTCGACAATAATTTGCTGACCTCATTTTTCCTAATTCCGAGGGTTATATATATATATATATATATATATATATATATATATATATATATATATATATATATATATATATTCCAATTTTTTAAAATGGACCCGGTATCGGGGACTTGGTATAAACTGGTTCCGGCACGTCTCTACTTTTGAACGGTGCGCCAAATTTACATTTGCACTAATAAAGATAACCTGTTAATTTGTTAAGAAAAAATGTAATCGTCATTCTACTGCTGTTCAACAACTGATTGTTGCTCAAACCGTTTCTTTAAAAGATAAGAATTACTATGTAAGATAGAGAATAACTAATGTAATTATTTATATGATGTGTAGTTTTTGGAATGTTGTACTTCCTTAAATTAACTCTGTGCTTAACTAGTCCTGCCGTACCCTAGTTTTATTTTGCATCTAATAGGTAATTATTCTCCTTACACTCAATCATTGTATGCGTGTTAACTTTGTCGAAGCTCTTCATTCAAATGCGATGCTTGTTTGCAAGTCATTGCTTTCGCATTTCAATTTTTCCATCAGAACTTATGCAGCTATGGCTATAAAAGAACTTTCGTAAGAATTTTTATTTTGACTTGTATTTTTATTATTTGTAGTTTTCATCTTGTAAATATATTCATATATTTTTTAGCTTGACTACAGATGGAAAAAACCAAGCCTGCGATGAGGGATGTATACCATTATTAGTCAAGTTGCTTAAGGATGAAGAGGTTTCAGTTCGGGCCCAAAGCTGTGCTGCCCTAAGTGCGTAAGTAATCATAGATTTATAAAAAGTTAAATTCTTAACAAGAAACAAGTGTTTTGGAAGTGTTGTTATAATGTAGGATTACAATCACCACACGGGGAAAGCGCGAAACTTTAAAATTTAATGTCATACCTACTGTTCTTCAACTGTTATTAGATCTTAATGTAGAGATAAGATTGAATGCTTTGAAATTAATTTCTAATCTATCGGAAGCTCCAGAAGGTAATTTATCTAGAAATAAAACGATTTTTATTAATAAGAATTAAATTTTTTCTGTTTAATAATTCACAAGTTAAGTTGTTTTTTTTCCTAATTATAAGGCCGTAAAGAACTATTGGAATCTGTAGACTACGTTTCTAGTCTGAAGAGTGACTACGACAGCGCCGCAGTTAGAAAAGCCGCACAGATAGCTGAAAAAATGATTCTTTGGAAGCCCTGACTTATTTATCTGTAGTTTGTTTGTATTGTACATAATTAAAAAAGTTTTAATATATTTTTATGTTATAAATAATCAAACTGGGAATAAAGTGGTTGTTTCAGTGTTTGGTAGTGTTTCAGTGTTAGTTAAATATAGATTTTTTAAACATTTTTTTGGTAGAAATGTTTTAAAAATATATATTTAACAAGTAGTTATAATAGCTCAGCTTAGTCTCATTTTTAATAAATAAAAACACTTGCTGATTACTGTAATTATCATAGCCATTTTAATCGTGATGTTCACAGGAAGTTTCCGTGAAATTATTGTTTTTTATTCGACTAGGGATAATTTTAAGATTTTTAAATAAAAGTAATGTCAAGTAAGACGTTATCTACCTTTTTAAAAATAATAATAATGTACGGTAAATAAAAATTTTTTTAAATTAAATTCAAACAAAAAAGGTTTTAAATCGGATAATTTGAGACATAATTTTTATGCTTGCGTTTATCATATGTATTAGTTTTTCCTTACAAGTATGGTAGCCTTAAGAAAGCGTACAAATAGGTAAACTTTCTAATGCTTATATTGCGCTACCAAGTGGGAGTGTACTAACAAACCTTGGGGCATACAAAACTAAATGTATAGTTCAGTGACGGATCTAGGGGGATGTATCCCCCTTCCCCCTACTAGTCTTAAAATATCTTAGAAATTGAGGACCTTATTTATTATTTATTTTTTTTTTTTAAGACGCAAATGTCCTACAAAATACAAAAATATTTCAATATCCCCTCCTCCTCAAAAAAAAAAAAGTAATTCCTGGATCCGTCACTGATATAGTTTAATAAAATATTATCTGTCTCCTTCTAATAAACTTCCAGAGCCTCGGGATTTACCTCGTACGAGTATAATGTACAACCATTTAGTCAGCTCTTCGACAACGATACTTCAGCAGAAATCAATCTGCAAACTTAATCGTTTATAAATATTTTATAACTCGTGTATCTTTTTACCTAAATTTTACAAAAAAGTTTATTTAGTTCTAAAAATTGTCTAACCATAACTATTATTGAATGTTCGATCTAGGAACATCTACTACCAATCCGATCTCCTTTAATTCTCTCTGAATCAATTCCTTTTTATCTTTCATCCAAATGAAGGAAAAAAAACTGACTAAACAAAGAGAAAAACATGACTAACAAAGAAGAAGAACAAGTATATTTATAAATATAATAATATATATAGTTATATTTCAAATATAAATATATATATATATATGGAAAATTAAAGTGATGGTTATTGAAAAACAAAGTATATCAAATCACATGTTATTATTATCTTCACATTCAAAATTACTTTTTTTAAATTTCACTACGGTTCTCCGAGCTGATTTTTTCAACATTCGATGACTTGATCTATATTCTTGTTACTCTTAAAAAAACAGCTGCCTTAAAGTGCCATAAATATACTTTTATGCAATTTTTTTTTTTTTTTCGGTAACTTTAATGAAACTTTTTTTAAAGATTTTATTTTAAATACTTTTTCTTAAATATTTCACTTTAATGAACTATATTTATGAATATACTTTTTTTTATTTACAAATATACTTGTTAAATATGTGTTTTTAAAATATTTCACTTTAAAAAAAATGTTTTGCGTAAAGGTTTTTTCGTTTTTGCGGTAACTCCAGTGAAATATTTTTGATCGACTTTTTCGGTCAAATACTCTACTGTGAGTCGCTAACAAATCATAACAAGTCAGTCGCTAACATACTGTAACAAATCAGTCCTTAACAAACCGTAAAAGTAATTCAGAGATAAATGCTAATACAGCTAATCATAAAAATACTATTACAAAATTACCGAAAAAATGACCAATCAAAGATAGAAAAAGAAAAATCACTGGTCAACTGTCAGGAGTTCAGCTGCAGTAAGGCAAGGAAAAGATCTTGAGTCTTCTTTCGTCGTTCTATTATTTTTTGTGCAAAATCGTCTTTAGTACAGTGTTGACAAAATTTAATAGTACAAAAATAAAATGATGCTGCCGTTTTTTTATTACTTGATACAGACAAACAAATGTTGTATATTTTTAATCATTAAAATTAGATGTGTTTGATTTTTTTGTTAATTTATGCGGAAAAATTTAATGGGACAAATTGATTTTCATTAAAAATATCTTATTTAACTCTAATTTATAATTTGTTTCGTAAGATACTAATAATTTTCTGAAGGTAAAACACTTTTTTCTCGAAAAAATTATTTTATGAAATATTTAGGAGCAAATTCTATATTTTAGCAATCATGGCCCCAGCAAAACAATATTTGAATAAAAATCAACGAAAATTTTGGATTTAGTTAAACAAAAAAAAACTTACAGAACTATCGAAAATAAAACTGGAATTCCACCATTTCAAACATTGTATAAAAGTTTGAAAGTCACTAAACTGTAAAGATTTTGTAAGAACGTGGGCGCAAACTACCGTCAAAAAAGATCCCTAGATTGTGAGATTATTCAAAAAAAATAGATACAAGTCATCCAGAAAAGTTGTAGAATATATTGAAAAAAACTCTGGAACCAAAATAACTGATCAAACAATCCGAAATCGTTTACATGAAAAATGGATTTAAAAGCTACACACAACGTAAAAAACTATATTTGACATAGCAACATAAGAAAAAAATAATTATTATTTACTAAAACTCGTGTTAATTAGCCAATTTCATTTTGGAATAAAATTCTGTGGTCGGATGAATCCAAATTTAATTTGGTACATTCTGATGGCAAACAAAATGTTTGGAGAAAAACTGGCGAAGCTTACCGTCTAAGTTGCATGCAAGGATCCGTAAAACATGGAGGTGGTAATATAATGGTATGGGACTCTATCTCATGGAATGATGTTGGAAATCTTGGATTTATCAAAGATAGAATGAATTCGGATATGTACATTGATACTTTGAATAATAATTTTGGTGTGGTAAAATAGTGTCGCAAAATTATGATTATCGCAAACTTGATTTCGAAAATGTAAAAAAGGAATAGTGTCGCAAATTGTCGCCTTATTGATTGTCGAATAACAGGTTAAGGAAAAATGTCGCAAATGAATTTAATGAATAATAAAAGGAAAAATATCTTAAAAGAGTTTAATGAATAGTAACAAAAATGAAAAAATACTAATAACTACAAATGCTACAAATGTGTGTTTATATAACATGTCTCGTGTCATACTGAAATAGCCTGTTGTCCGGAGCTTTAGTTCATACACCAATTATTTTATAGCCTGCTGCCACAAAAGAGTGTCGCTACATCGACTGGGGGTTTGGTAGCAATCTTTTCTTTTATTACTCTGTATTTTTTTCTTTGTTTTTTCTTTAAAAGCAGTATGCTATAAAGATAAGTAAAACGAGTAAGCAATTGCTGAAATTAACTATTTGCGACACAATTCGTTTTTACTATTTGCAACACTATTCCTTTTTTTTGTTTTCAACACTATTTATTAAAATTATTTGCGACATTATTTCTTTTTTTTTTTTTTTTGCGACATTAAGCCTTGTTAATATATTCGACACTATTCTGAAGTTCATTTTTCGACACTAATCCTGTCACCCATATTTTGACTTCATCAGCGCGTAAATTGAGATTAGGTAAAAATTTTATATTTCAATATGACAATGATCCGAAACATAAGTTGAAAAAAACAACAGAATTTTTACAAATCATAAATTTATGGTCGATTTTAGATAAAAAAAATATCGTCACTTAAAGCGAAAGGATGAGTTAAAAACTTTTTTAATTGTTACAAAGGCTTGGGATGAAATAAGTTCTGATATTACAAAAAAATTAGTGGAATTTATACCAAAATGTTTAAATGCTATTATAAAAGCTATAGGAGGTCACACAAAATATTATTTTTACCATAAGTCTTCTTAATAAATTATTTATGTTAGGTGTCCCAATATTTATTTCCTGAGAATTTAGTCAAAAAGTTGATATGTTCACTTATTATTAATTACGACTTTTGAAAAACGTAAAAATACTCTCAAATGCATTTGTTTTTAAAAATGGTACTAAAAACTATCATAAAAAAATCATTTAACAAATAAAAAGCTATTTTTATATGAACAAACTGGCAATTTTGATTAAAATTCGCCATTCAAAATGGTTGATCCATTATATTTTTCTAACACTGTATTTTTTAACTGCATTAAGAATTTTGTTTTTATCTTGAAAGTTTAAAAGTTTCAAACTTCTAAATAATTGCTGTTTTTACTTTTAACCATTCAGACAATTTAGAACGCCATTTTTTTTCGACATGGATGTAGATGGTTCTCCGTTGTTTTTTTTCGACATTTTATCTGAATAAATAGAATTTAATCAATTTATCTTATTATTTTATTATTACTTTATTATCATATTTATATGTTTATAACTTTATTTATTTATAGAAATTAATTACTTGATTAAATCGAAGTTACCTGAGAAAATGTTTTAAGGAGGCTATAGCCACAGGCCCACTAAAAATAAGAGGCCCACTCCTAGAAAAAAAACAACTGATAAAATAACCCATCTTAAAATTGTCAAAAAAGCAAAAACACTAAACTTGCTGTTGTCAACACATGGAAAGCGATTTTAGCACGTCAGAAGGTATATTTCTATGTAATACATTTAAACAACGTTATTTAAAATCTTTTTTTTTTTTCGAGAACAATTAAACAGTGAGAATGTTCAGCGTGATTGGCTTTCTTATTCTCCAAGAACTGGTCAGATATTCTGTGCTAATTGTAATTGGAAGAATGCAGTAAGTGATTTAATTCGCCATAAAGTCAATACTTTGCGCAGAAGTAGTATTGAAAAAATTGTTTATATAAAAATTACAGGGAAACGAATAGATGAAAGTTTTGTAGAATAGTACGGGTCTGAAAGGAACTATTGGTGTCAACTTATCAAACGGATTTTAATTGTAATCAAATTATTGTCGGCGAGAGGTCTTGCTTTTTGTGGAAATGACTTTATTGAGTTTGTGAACAATGGAAATTATTTAGGAAGTTTGAAGTTACTTGCGGAATATGATCCATTTATTTCAGAACACACTCAATAACGCTTTAACAAATAGAAGCTACATCTCATATTTGTAATCAACAATTTGTAATGAATTTATTTGAATTATAAGTGATCAGTTAATAAGACAGGTCATACAAGATATAAAAGATGCAAAATACTATTTTATCTTGGTCGATTCAACACCGGATGTTTCGCATTTAGACCAGTTAACATTTGTTATTCAATATGTAATAGCGAGCGGACCAGTTGAAATAAAATTTATTCCGATATATGAGAATAATGGTGAGATATTGGCAAAAATACTACTTTAATTTTTAGAAGAGAAGGTATTAAAAACTGTAGAGGTCAATCATATGACAATACATCAAGTATGAGTGGAAATTGCAATGGTATGCAAGCCTGGATTTGATAGACTACTTCAACAGCTTAATTTAGATTCTGTAATTGAAGAAATTGCTAAAAAAAAATCTCGAAGAATTAACGTCTAATAGCTTAAGATTTTGGCAAATAAACAAACCTTTAAACTCACAAAAACTGCAATATCATTGAAGAATTATTGGCAATTTATTGCATAGATTTATTATTTTGTTTCATTTTTCATTACATTAAAAACATTGGCATGAATTATTGGCAATTTATTGCATAGATTAGTCACTTTGTTTAATTTTTTATTACATTAATTTCATTACAAAAAATATTTTGGAAACGATATTAACTGCATTGAATTAAAGTAATTATAAAAAAAAATTTCCTATATTTTTGTCCCATTACTGCGACAAATTTTGTAACTTTTTTAGGCCGTAGGTACTAGCATGTTTGTATCAGAAGTTAAATTTTGGACCTAGCAAGGTTTGAACCACTTTAAATCTTAATCCGGACCTATGTGTGATTTGAAACTAAAGTTCGAGTTAAGCAAAGTTTTTTGCCAAAAGTTACCAATAAAACAGTGCGAACTTGCGAATGGTCCGACTTAATCTGAGCTGGATGATTTTATATTGTGTTAACATAATACAAAATGAATTTTCTCTATACAACGACGTTGTATAACGACGTTATCAACGTTATCAACGTTGTCAACGTTGATAAAAGAAAATTCATGGAAAATTAAAAATCCTTTCGGTAATTTTTTTAGTTTTTTTAGTTTAATAGATTACTTGAGTGATCTGCACGTCAACATAGAAAAGTATAAGGTGTTTATCATAAATCAAAATATAATTTTTTTAAAAAAGCTGTAAACTCAAAGATGACATCTATTGCTGAGCTCCCTTGCTATACATTAATTAATTATCCGATTGAAAATGAACCTGTCACAGAAGCAAAACTCAAAGAAGATCTTGGTAAGCACAAGCTTAATCAAATTTAAAGCTTAAATCTTAGCTTTTCCTACAAATATTTCCGCAATATCTACATATGATTCATATCTCCTTCATATTATGAAGGAGATCTATTATGACAATTTTTTTCTTTTTTAAGTGTTAAAAAAGCAAAAAGACTTAAGTTTATTATAAACATGGTGGGTTTTTTGGGGAAATTTTCTAAAACCTACCATACAAGGTTTTATTTTCAATGTAGGGTAACCGGAGGTATTAAGTCCTATGGGGTATTAAGCCATATTTCCTCTGTTCATATTATGAAATAGCTGGTGTTATTGTATTATCAGAGAGGGATATTAAGCTCTACACAATAGAGACTAAATAACCAATAATTTTCATAATCATTCTGGGGTTTCTAAACTAATTAGAATTTATAGATAAGTGGTTTTTTCAACCAGTTTCCAGTTTCCTTTAAATTTGATGAAAAACTTTAAGGAAAGCCAGTGCTTGTTTGTTTCAACTTGAAAAATTATTTCTGCATTAATTTATATTTTCCATACATATACAAGTACATATAAACTAAATACTTTTTTTTTTAAGTTTGTAACTATCTGTGTATGTTATCAATGAACTAAAATGTTGATATTTGTAGAGCAGACAAAGGTAGAAATTTTAGGAAAGTAAAATGTCAGTTGAATGAATGTTTAAGAAATTGTTTATAAATAGCTCTAAAATTCACTTTAATACTAAATTTCTATTTAATACTGTAAATGGATAGCATTTTTAGAAGAAGTATGGTTCTATTGAATATTAATTAGTTTAATTAGTTTATTAACTTTATTGTTTTAACAGGGGACATTAGCAGAGGCTTAATGCCCCTGTTGATGCCAACTGTTTAAAAAGGTGATTAAAACATTGATCAGGTAAATAAAATTCATGTTTTAATTTTATAAACATTACAAAGATATAGTTTAGATTAAAAAAAAAAGTTATTTATTTGTAAAAATAGTTTATATTTATCTTTAAATGCAGTTTTGATAATGGACCTATTGCCCCCTTTATTTAGCAGAATGGTTCAGACATACAAAAAGAATAAGGAGGCAGGAAAATCGATACAACTAGCCAAACAATGACAGATGACTACAATTCTATCATTTGTAAGCAGATGTCTGCTAACCTAGAATCCAAGCACTATTAAAAGTACTTTCCAGCACTAGTGCTCATAATGCTTCTGCGTCAACATTATTACTATGTGTATTGCTGTCAACATCATTGTTAACTACAGCATTATCAATATAATTATCACATTTATCTTTAGCACCTGCAAAAAGACCACAGACACCATTGTCTGTTTCATTTTCCAAAAAGTTATTTAATAAAGATTTTTTTCTCAAAAAACTGCATCCCAGGTTTGCGCAAACTTCTGGGATGGGAAGTTGGTTAGAACCATTAGGTTTTGTTATGGAGAAAGCTTAACATTTGATGAATCCTTAGAGTAACTCAGATAAGAAGCAGCAAAAAATGCTCCAAGAAAAAAGACCGCAACAAAAAGAAATCTTCCAGCCAGAGGTGATAGGGACAGCAATGAAGATGACAACACTGTCTTTAAAGTATTGTGTTCACAGAGGTCAAAAGAAGAATGGGTGTGGTGTGACTTATATAATGCTTATGTGATACCATGTTAAATGCGCGGAAATTCTGGACGGAGCTGATAGTGAAGCCGTGGACTGGATCTGTGAGAAGTGTTTAAAAATTATGTAAAAATATATGTTTTACATAGTTAAGCTTATTGCCCCCATTTTTTTAAAATTTGAGTTGGCGCTAGTTGTAACTTTTTAGCTTTTTTTTTTTCACTTTATGACTTTAAGTTTTGCTGGATAAAGCTTTTGTACATATAGAAATATGTGTTGTTTATAACTAAAAAATATTTCAAGATTAAATTTAATATTTATTTATTTATTTCAAAAATAGAAAATAAAAGTTTTTAAAAACAGGGGGCTTAATGCCCCCTGTTACCCTATTGTTGTTTGCTAAAAATGTTTTGAACTTACTAATCATAGAGAAACCTATTTTGATAATATTTTTTTTCTTTTCTTCAAGCATTTTTAAACTGGAGGACATGTATTTTAGACACCCCCTTAAGTAAGTCTGTAAAAAACTAGTCTTAGGTTTTACCCAAAACTAGTAATATTGATAACCATACCCTAACCCTAAACCTAGCCATAAAGTTTGTTTTAATGAAAATTATACCCTAACCAAATCTTTTTTTCTCTTGATGCAGCTACTAATTCTAATCATAACCATTTTTTTTTCAAACTATCTATTTTCAAACAACTCTCTTGAAAGTTGTTATTGTTTTCACAAGAACAACTTTCTTTAGAGTTGACTCCAACTTCTGTTGCTTAATTAATTTCTCAATAAAACTTTTCTATAGATTGTGGTCCAGTCAACATCTCTATAATCTTAAGAGTGTTCTCCAGAACTCACTTCAGTTCTCAAAACTATTTAATAAGTGCTTTACTGAACCTTGTTTTCCTGCCAACTGAGAAATTGGAAATGCCAACTGCATTGTTTGTTTTTCCAAATATCAATCCCACAACCGTTCGCATTTTTAAAAAATTCTATTGTTTCTGCAACAACCGTTCGCATTTTTAAAAAATTCTTTTGTTTCTGCATAATATTTGTTTGAATATCAATCCCATGCTTTACGTTATTAAAAAAAAATCTCTCTTTTTAAAAACTTTACGCTATTGCAGCTCTTTCTTTTCCTAACATAAAAAATAAAATACTCTGTTGCCAATACTTGTGATATTGTTTTCAATCAACAAATGACTTCTAACAATTGTTAATAAACATGTTTATAAATATAGAACAAAATTTATATTTGTATTTATATTTTAAGGCAATTTAAATAAATGACACTAATAAAATTACTAGCAATTACTACAGGAGAACACTCTGACCGCTTAAACTAATGCCAATAAATCTACTCTAATGTAATTAGCAAGGTCTTGGAATCTCTAACATCCTAACTTGAGTCTAATAACTCTCTGTAAGTCAAGATTTTTATACAGATTAATTTTGATAGATTTCAATTTTGCGGCTGACTTGCTAAGTGCTGTAACTAAAAGACTTGGTTTTTTACATATGCACCAATGGCTTGTGTGTAAAAAAAAGATGTTAAATGATGTGTAAAAAAAGAACTCATAAAACAAACATAATAAAAAAGCTATTTATTTAAAGCTTTATTCAGACAATTTCTCATAACAAATAATAATAAAAATAAATACTAAATTTAAAAAAAAACAAAAACCAAAACGAAAAATTATTTGCTAAAAAAGAGTAAATGTTAAATTTTATTTTATATTATTGCCACTTTTATTATTTTAATTTTTTGTTTGTTCGTTTTTGTGCATAAGTTGGAGGCGGCAAGGCAAAGGCTATTGCTTTTGACATGTTAAAAGCTTTCAATAAGGTTTTTCAATATGGTTTGGCATTAGTTTGTTTTCTTCATAAGCTAGCTTCATATGGTGTATCTTGGAAAATGTTTGAGAAATCATTTCTTTCTAAATGTAGTATTAAAGTCAACCTCAGGCCACTCTTCCTATTTCCAGTAACTTTTTGGGTACCTTAAAGTTCTATCTTTGGTCCTGTATTGTTTCTTAACTAAATTAATAATCATCCTGACAATCTTACATCTAAAGTGACTTTAATTGCTGGCGGCTCAACTTTATAATCCTGTCTTGACGAAAAGTCTTCTCTTTTTAATGGCTTAGAATAGGTGGCCTATCTTAAATCTGATCTCTCTTCTGTAACAGTTTAGAGCTTGCAGTGGCTTGTGAATTTTAATTCCAACAAAACTCAGTTACTAACTGTAAACAAATATTGCAATCCTGCTAACATTCCTATATTGATAAATGAGTTTAATATATTCTCTAAGAGTTAGTGTATATTCCCTTAAATGCTCTTTTAATATCATTAAATGGTGATCTAAATATGCAAAATTAAGACAAAATTAAAATTAACATGTATGGTTTTTTGTGTATGCACCATTGCGCACACATCAATGGCTTGTATGTAAAAAAAAGATGTTTTATGATGTGTAAAAAAAGAAATCATAAAACAAACATAATAAAAAAGCTATTTATTTAAAGCTTTATTTAGACTATTTCTCATAACAAATAGTAATAAAAATAGTTTATAATTAAAAAAAAAAATCAAAATCAAAACGAAAAATTATTTGCTAAAAAAGAATAAATGTTAAATTTTATTTTATATTATTGCTACTTTCGATATTTTAATTTTTTGTTTATTTGTTCGTTTTTGATATAATGATTAATTTAATAAATTGTGTTCTGGAGAACGCTCTTTAGATTATAGGAATATTGTCAGGACCACAACCCATTGAGGAGTTTTATTGAGAAATTACTTAGGCAATGGAAGTTGGAGTGATTTGGATATCTAATAATAGGTTAAACTGTTTAACTGGAATGGTAGGAAGAGTATGACCATAAGATTTCAAACTAGAGGAAAAGCTTTTTGCAAATAGTTCTGTCTTATCTTTAGGAAAGGTAATAAGATCAGATCTATGAACTAGAAATAAGATGTTAAAGATTCAAAAGTCTTTATAACCTACTTCTGAGATAAGATACAAGGTTTAGTAAACTTAGAATAATGGAGCTAGGAATAATGGAATAAGACAGCATCTTTTTATATTTGCTTCTTGGTATAATAAAAAGGCGCTTTCACAAAATCAATTTTAAAGAAAGTTGTTCTTGGGAAAACAAGAACATTTTCAAGAGAGTTGTTCATGTGAATTGTTTGAAAAGAAAAATGGTTATGATTAGAATTAGTAACTGCATCAAGAGACAAAAGACTGTCAAGCCCAAGACACTCATGAAGAAAACCACCAAAAGAATCCTAGTCAGCTTTTAATCAACTTTATTAGTAAGTAGTACAATGATTTTGCACTTTTTTTTAGTCCAAAAAAAAGTGCAAAATCGTTTTAAAATTTTATTAGGTTTCGGACTCTATACTCAACGTTGCAAAAACACATTAGATGTAAAAAAGACTATGTTTTCATCTGATGAAAAACTAATTATGCATGCATCATTTAAACTAATTTTGCATGCATCATTAAAAAGAAAATTGGTAAATTATTTTTAGGGAAATTTTAATTTAAAATTGTTTAAGTTTCAAAAATGGTGACATGTTTAATTTAGACAATTGATTTGTCGATGATTATGTTATTTTTTAATGAGAAAATTAACCTAATATTTTATGACATCAAGAAAAAAATAGAACAAATATTTTTTTGAATCTATTAAAATATATTTTTGACTCTATTATTAAATTTTAACTTCTATTAAATCTATTAAAATATACTTTTGACTCGTTTATTAAATTTTAACAATATCATAAAATATTTTTATTTTACAAAAAAAAAAGCCTTTTTATTTATGTAGCTTTATATTATTTAGAGCGTGGTGACATACCTGCTAAAACAACAGCTCTTAAAAAAGTTATGTATCAACTTCTTAATGGTGAAAAGATGCCTTCAATATTGATGACAATTATTAGATTTGTGCTTCCACTGCAAGATCATACCATTAAAAAATTGCTCCTTATTTTTTGGGAAATTGTTCCGAAAACATCAAGTGATGGCAAGTTATTGCAAGAGATGATTTTGGTTTGTGATGCTTACCGAAAGGATCTTGAACACCCTAATGAGTTTATACGAGGATCAACATTAAGATTTTTGTGCAAGTTAAAGGTCAATATATATATCCTAATTATTATTATGATGTTATAAAAGTATAAATATTAAAACTGATAATAAAGCAAAAGTTTTTTTTTGTCTTATAAACTTATTTATACTAAGAAGATATATATTTGTTTTTTGAAGTTTATATAAATAAGTATAATAACTATTTATTTTTCTTATATTATTATGAATTTAATATAGGAATCAGAGCTAATCGAGCCATTAATGCCTGCAATTCGTGCCTGTCTTGAACATCGTCATTCATATGTTCGTCGAAATGCTGTGTTTGCCATTTATACAATATATAGGTATTGTGTTGTTTATGTTTTGTGGTGTTCACAGTTTATTATATATTTAGTAATTTAATTCAAACTTGACATCTCGACAAATGTTGACATAAAAAAAGTTTTTTTTTCTAATCTTAGTTCACAATTTTGGGTGGCTAATACAATGCTGTGTGTTTATGTTCAAATAAAGTATATGCTCAAAAATTTTGTTACATTATCATAACTAATCTCCATGACATTCTTTCTTACTCATGATGTAATATTGGCATTCAGTTATATAAAGTAACAGCAAATAGACAAGTTACTTTGAAATTAATTGTTTAATAAAAGTTAATTATGAAAGTTTTTAAGTGTTACAGCTACACAAATAGTTTTGAAACTTTTAAATTTAAAGGGATCTCAAAGTGCAGAGACAAGTTGTGTTCATATTAAAGAGAATGTTTTTATTTAAAAAAACAAAAAACATTCTCTTTAATGTTTAGGCTGAATTTTTTTGATTAAAATAAAATAATAAACTTATATACCAAGAAAAACTAACTTTGTAGTTTTAGTCAAAGCTCGCTGTCTCCGATTCAGTATGATTTTTAAGTTTTTAAAATATATGCTGCAATTATAAACTATGAGGTCATTTTAGAATTTCGATAAGAAATCTACAAATTATTTTTGTCTTCAAATTATAGAACTTTTTTTTTCACCATTAGTTACTTAAGGTTTTATTTAGTTCTTTTATTATCTAATTATTACAAATATTTATATATTATATAAATACTTGCAAAATACAAAATACACAAATTTGCATAAATATGAATAAAATATTTCTGATATTTTAGGCTTGTCTATTGCTATAATTAGTTTTGTGTTATATTTAATGTTATTAAATGATTATTATCCTTATCAAGATTCTGTTAAAAAATTATTTTGTATTATTTAACTGCATAAAAGTTTAATTGAAAGCATTTATTAGCTAAACTTTTCATCAGGTGCAAATATTCTCAAAATTCTTATTTAGTCATGCGAGAATATATTTAATATATTTATTTTGTTAAACATGTTTTGTTTGATTTTTCTAAAAAAAAAAACATTTTTCAATAATAAGATCTTATTCACTGAAAACTGATTTTTTCAATCAATTTTATTTTTCTTCATTATTAAAAAAGAAGAGTAGTAAAGCATCAAGTGACATAAGATAACATCCAGTGACATAAGATGACATTTTTTAATATTTTAAAATAACAATTTCCATAAAATGTTTTATAAAAAAATTGTTTTTATTCAGTAAGAGATTTCATTAAATTCGTTTTTTTTTTACTTTTTCTTATACTTTTACTTTTTATTCTTTTGATATTTTTTGTATTTTTTTTTTTTTTTTTTTAGAAACTTTGACTTTTTAATACCTGATGCTCCTGAACTGGTTTATGAATTTCTTGAAAAAGAACAAGATGCATCTTGCAAGCGAAATGCTTTTATGATGTTAATTCATGTTAATCAGGTAAAAATTTACATTTAAAAACATCTCTTAAGCATTCTAGTGCAAAACACATAATCTCTTTATAATAATACTGGACTTAATAGTAGTAGTAGTATTGCGCTTTCGAGCCTGTTTGACACGATACTCTTGGCAACCATTGCATCCAAGGTAGTGACGAGAAAGAGTCTTACCTTTGCTTTATAAGAAAACGTGAGCAAACGTGAAACTCATATTGTACGTACATAAACTTCATGTTATGTAATGTTAAAACATGCTTAAACATATATCAAATTCAACAGTTTGATTTTCACTTAAGAACTGCATTTCGTCAACCTTTGCTTAATTTCTAATCTTTTGTGTTTTTATCCGTTAAAAAACAATTTTTATATAATTTGAAATCTTCAAGACACTACGTGACAGCGTAGTAGATTGGTTAGTGTGCTGGGTTTCTGACCAAGTCAGCCGTGGTTCAAGTCCTACCATCGGCGACCTTCTTTTTTATTTTTTTTGCGCATGTGTCATTATTGAGATACTCATGTTATTTTAGCTAAACTTTTCAAGTTTATTTACAACTAAATTGAGCAAGGAAAATTAGTAAAAAACATGTTTATATATAGAATTTAAAATCTATATAACTTTTGATTTGCATTTTAAACAACAAAACCGCATGCCAAGCTGATGAACTTGCCACGCGGCGACCATAACTTTTTTTAAAAATGGTAAGGGGGCTTAAAAAGTATATTTTTATTTAGAACATAATTAAAGATTTTAATTTTATATGTACACTAAATTATTTTATACAATTTATTGTTTCTAAAAATAATTAAAAGTTAAACTATTTAATATTAGCATAATACCGATTTCTAATCTTTTGCATTTATATCCGTTAAAAACAATTTTTATATAATTTTGAATCTTTATTTCTTAATGCGTCAGCGTAGTCCAGTGGTTAGCGTGCTGGGCTTCGGAACATAGCTGCCGTGGTTCGAGTCCTACCGTTGGCGACTACTGTTTGAATTTTTTTTTTAGATTTTTTTAAATACAAGTTCAAATACTTATAAAGTTTTATAGATATTGTATATAGACAACATATGTAAAGATATTAACCAAAAGTTTGATCCTCGCATTTTGACACAGAACCAACTTCGCTAACGAGAGAGAAAAAATCGTTCAAAAAATTTCAAAATTTTGTTTTTTTGTTGCAAGAAGTGTCTCGCAAATGCCATTTATGTTAAAGTTAGTGTTTACACAATCAATAAGTTTAATCTTCGTATCTAGGACATTAAAAGTTATCATTTAGATGTTTTCATTTGATTGAGATTTTCTTGCGTTATAAAACGGATAATAGTTCTTATGAACTGTAACCACGCGGATAAAGTGTGCATCAATATCCTAAAGACCCGTATTTTACGGGTCATGACAGCTAGTCATTATAATTATTTGTTATAATCATCATTGTCATCATCATCATCATCATCATCATCATCTAATTTTTATTATTATTATTTTGTACATTATCAACATTATTAATTCATTGTCATGTTACACCATAAAATGTTAAACATTTTCACAAAAATGCACACAAAAAGTATGCAAGGTTAAAATGATTTAATTATTTTTGATTCTTTACTTTCTATTATTAATTAACTATAGTATTAAAAATTAACTGTAGTATTAAAAATTAGTTAGTTTTTTATTCATAGTTTTCTTTATATGTTTTTCATAAAAATGCAAGAGAGATAAATTTAGTTTTAACGAGCTGTTAGTTAAAGATTTGAAAGTGTTCAATCTTTGATTAACGAGCTGCTCAAGACGAGCATCCAGAAGAAACCAGGATTTATGAGCATTTGAAAAGTAAAGCTAAATCTAGTTTATGACAAATAACTCAAATTCATGGTTCCTGAAAGCTAAAGATATTTTAAGTTAGTTAAAGATATAAATAAAAAGAAAGAACAAATAGGTCGAACTGGAGTGGAAAATTTATAGGAAAAAAACATTAAGATAAATGGGTATGCACTGAAAACATTTGTATAGCAACAAAGTTAAGTTCCTTTCCACATAAGATTCCAAAGAAATGGCAAAAACAATGCAATGACTAGATTAAATTTAAAAAACCAAAACTATATTTATTATAGCAAACATGAAAAAGTTGCAAAAAGTATATATATATATATATATATATATATATATATATATATATATATGTATATATATATATATATATATATATATATATATATATATATATATATATATATATATATATATATATATATATATATATATATATATATATATATATATATATATATATATATATTATATATATTATATATATATAAATTTTAAAGTCTTGTTAGTCATTTTCTTGCTTTTCAACATTATTCTTTATTTTCTAGTAACTCCTAACTTAAAAGTGCTACCTCAACTTACAGCCTTTTTGGGAGTTTTTTTTTTTTTTTTTTTTTTTAAATCAGTTTTCTTTTGTATTTTCAAATCTGCATTTCTTTTTGTATTCTCGAATGTATATTTAGGATTTTGCAAAGAAGAAAATCAGTTTCCTTTTGTATTCACAAATTTTGTATTCTCAAATTCTTATTCTGCATCTGCACATAATAATATTTCACAGATTTATTATTGTAAAGTCATTGAAAATCTTCTTGAACACTTTGTTCTTTTTAAATACTTTTTTTTATTTTTTCAGCCATTTTTTCAGCATTTTTCCTTTTTTTGGTTAGTGTTTTTGAAATTTCACTTCTGATCTTGCTCTTGCAACTGTAATGTATAGTTGGCCATGTGTAAAAACAGGTTCGGGCAAAAAAATAATAACACTATCAAATTACTAGCCTTGTGATTTGTTGATAGTTATAACAAATGCAGTTATAACTGCATATTGCTGATGTCTTAATTTAAAAGGAAGATGCAAATCTTATATTACATGGAATCATCACTTGTTCTAGATCCTCCAATTATCAATTCAACAATTACATTATCTAATAACCTTTTTACTCACAGTCGCATACCATTGCAAAGTTGGTATTCAAATTTTTGTGCATCAAAACAATGCAATCTTGCTTTAAAGTTAGTCAATTAGGTGGCATACCACTTGGTGTTTACTGTGGAAAAAATTTTGTTGAAACTCTTAAATAACATCTTGGTTATCACACACTGTAGTATCTAGGCTGTAGTATGTCTTTTCAGTTCCATTAATCCTTTGGATAATTCCTTTGATCAGTATACTTGCATGTTCATCAACATCATAGAAATCATAATTTTCTTCAAAAACTACATCTTCTGATTTTGGGAAACCAAACAATTCATATTTCTGATTATGAAGTATAAGTACTGGTAAGCCATAATTTATAATTTAATATATGGTAAGCCATAATTTATGCAACATAGATAAATGGTAGGCCATAATTTATGCAATCTAGGTAAATAATAGGCCATAATTTATGTAACCAAGTGAAAAGATTTTTTTTTTACTGATAAAAAAAGGTATAACACAGCATATAGAAATAAAATATCTAAAACCGAAAATAACACCTGGCACTGTATTAGAGAATATGTCAGACAATCTTGGTTTTATCTCTATGGCTGTTTTGACAAAAAAATAATCATGACCACTGAAAGGCTCAACAAAATATCATGAAGATATATTAAAGCATTAACATTATAAAATTGAATCTAAATTTGATAGAGAAATTATAAAATTATTAAAAGTTGGTAAATAACTAAAATATATTTCTCAAATGTAATTGTTCATTTACAATTTCAAGTAAACATCAGTTGTATTTTTTGATATTTCTTTTCATTTGTTTTCCATTAAAAAAAATTCATTTACCTGAATATTATTGGAAATTTAAATTTAGCAACTTAAGTGTTAATTTAAATGTTGTTTAAATAGTTTTCTTTCATGGGTTGGTAAATTAAATTTCAAAACTTAACTTAAGTTCAAAATTTTGTCTTACTGTAATTAAAAATATGAAAATTTTTAAGAGAAAACTTTTTTTTTTACCTTGAATCTAATAACAGAAATAACAAAAGTTTGTTTTTTTTGTGGTCTTTGATCTGAAAAGAATAGATCGTTAATAGACATTGATTAATGCTCCAAATATTAATTTAAGTTACAAAATAAATCATAATAAAATACCATTAAAAAAGCAATTATTTTTTGATTTATCAAATTCTTTATAAAAGATTGCTAGCTTTTAGATGTAATTTTGTTACCAAATGATAAGGAAGTCATTGTGTTGATAAACCTTATTCAAGGTTATCTTTTGGATGTACAGTATCAATACAATATGTAACTTCCTTCAATGTAACTTTTTTTACGCTTTTGCTCGTATATTGGTGTTGAATGTTTATACTTCAGCATTTTATAAAGGAAAATTACTTTAACTCAAACTAATACTTCAAATCAGCCAAAGTTCCACTTAACAGAAATTCGCTTTAATCAAACATTCATTAAGTCGAACCATTTTCCTTGGTCCCTTGGAGGTCCATATAGTCGGGAGTTAACTGTATATTAGAATAAGAAAATGAAGCAGGAATTGCAAAAAAAAAAATTTTTGAAAAAAGCACAAAGGTGCAAATCACAAAAATCATCAGAGTTCAAAAAGTAATTGCAATGACTTTATGTCTAATTCAAAATTATTTTTTTTTAATAATTATCATTAGATTATAACAATAACAACAACAAAAAATGTTCACATTATAAAAATGTATTTTTGTATTTGTTTAGGAAAAAGCTTTGGACTATCTGAGTACCTGCATTGAGCAAGTTCATTCTTTTAATGAAATCCTTCAACTTGTTATTGTGGAGCTTATATACAAGGTTTGTATTGCAAACCCACAAGAACGCTCTCGATTTATCAAATGCATTTATAATTTGTTGAATTCTTCTTCTAATGCTGTACGATACGAAGCTGCTGGGACCTTAGTCACACTTTCCTCAGCTCCAACAGCAGTTAAGGTAAGAACTTTTCTTCATTTCACTTAAACATTTAAAAAGTATAGTTTCCATGGTTTTTTAAGAATGTAATAACAAAGTAAGAACAATGTAAAATAATAATTTTTGTAATGTAAAATTACAAAAATTATTAACAACCAAAGCTAGCTTGTATAGCTGCAGCAAAGCAACCGTAATTAATGATGCAGTTTGACTACCAAGGTTATTTTCCCAATAATGTTTATTCAAGCTGGATTCTTTTGTTTGTTTGAGTTATTTTTATCAATCAAATAAATGTGAAGAACAGATTTTGATTAGTCATATGCCATATTTATATGGCATATGAAAATTAACATTGAAAAATAACATTGAAAAATTATGTATGCAAACTTATGTAGACAACATTTAAAAATGTTGTCTCCATTAGTTTGCATACATAATTTGCTTTTAGGACTGTTAATGACGCAAAGAGCTTTGCTGTCATATGTTTTTTCACATATGACAACAAAGTGCTTTTGCTTGCTGTTATGAAATATTTATATGACAATTTATAAATCAATTAATGTGAAAGTAAAATTATATCCAAGGTGGTTATGCAAAAATATTATTTGGAGGTGGTTAGAGAGTAAATAACTAAAATATTATCTGGAGGTGATTAACTAAAAGTAAAAATAATAGTTGTACTGTAAAGTATTTATAAATATCACTTATTTATCTAAAGTAAAATATTTATAAATATCACTTATTTATCTAAAGTAGATAACTTACTATAAACTGTATAATGTCTTAGTTATGGGTAATAATTTAAAATTATTTATTTAGCAGTGACCACTTATTATGCTCTGAGTTAAAAGCAATCCAAAAGAAAACTACAAAATTTTTTGAACTTTTACCTTTTAGTTAGATGCAGCAACAACAAAGATAAATACAATAAAAATAAAGTATTATTACAAGATATAAAGTATTATTACAATTGATTATTTCTAATAATTTAATATTATATAATTAGTTGATTGCTTTTAGTTATTAATAATAATACTAATAATAATAACTAGCTGTTTGGACCTTGTAAAATGTTAAGTTATTTCTATATTTATTCTTTATATCATCTCTTAATTTCAATAATTTTTAGTAAACAGTTAAAATAATTGGTTTCAAAATCTTATACAAACAACAAAATTATTATGCTTAAAATAAGGAAGTACCAAGAAAATCAACAAATTATATATCTTTATAACTATTAATAAATAATATACGTAAAACTATATCTCTTTAACAAATTAACAATAATTTACAAATTAAAGAAAACATAACAATTGTCAATTTTGTTTTTCCATATCGAATAATTGGTCATATGACAAATCTAAAAAAAAAAAAAAATTAATGGAATTATAACACGATAATATAAAACTATACTATATGATAATATTGAAAAATACATCATATATAAAAATCAGTTTACCTGGTTTTGATAAGGTGATATTGCAGTTGTTATAAAAATTTATTGAAAAGCCAACTATAAAATTTGTTTGTGAAGCAAAAGTGTTAACAATACTAAAGATAAAAATCAAATTATAATATAAATAAATTGTATTTAGTGCAAAACGTTGTCTTGGCTTTTAATGATGATGAAAAGGAGTAAACTCTAGTAATAAAACTACCTATTCATTTGGACGTTTGAAAGTGGTGTGTTTTGGCAACTCAAAGTTGCCAAGTCGCACCACTTTTTTTATCACTATTTTTTACCACTTTGTTAACAGCTATTTTTTAGCTGTTTTTTTTTTTTTAATTAATTTTTTTTTTTTTTTTATATAAGTTAGTACAATTTGATTCAATACTTTTTATTCTGGATTTTACTTTTAATTATAGAATTTAAAAAATACAAGTACAAAAAAAAAATACAAGGGATGATAATGATTTATTTGAAAGTTGTGATCTTATTTTTGTAAAAAGTTATTGTACACAGAAAAAGTTTTTTCAACATCTGTTGATGTGGGCCTAATAATGCATCATAAAGATTTTGTAGATTTTTTGTACGTCTGTATTCTCAAAAAGAGTAAATTCTGTCTCCTTCTTTTTTTAAATTTTTGCTATTGTGGTTTTTTTTTTTTTTTTTTTTTTTTTTTTTGAAAAAAAGAAAAAAATTCAGCTGCTGTCAATTTATGACAATTTTTCTTTTTATCTGCCATATTTTTGTGGCTTATTTCTGAACTCTAAAACACACGAATAAAGTTTTTTATTATATACCTATTTTGACAAAAAAATTTTTGTCGAAAATATACAGACACCCTTATCCACAATATTTTAATACTTTTACAAACACATAAAAAAATACCAAAATAAAACCACTAAATTTTATTCTTATAAGTAATTCTTTATGTATACCTTTGTTAATAAAGCCAAAAGAAAAAAGAAAAAAACCCTTAAAAAAAAAACTTTTAATGCAATATGTTCTTTCGTCTCAAAAAAGAAAAGTAAAACAGTGTTAAACATGCTATTATGGACACTACAGTGGCTGGATGTCAATGGTTATCAAAAACATAATATTACGGATGTCACATTGTGGAAAAATTTTGGTTAACCATCATAATAAAGTCACCTCATGAAAAGGTTTAACCATCTAAAATTTTCATTTCCAGAAAACACTACTAGTGATTCATTTTTCTTTAGTAATAAATTAAGTTCTACTTGTAGAGTTAAAAATTTGTTTGATTTCTGGTAGTTGCTCTAATATTATAAACATCATAAACACTAAAAAGTGTTTATAATATTAAAGCAACTGTATTTCAGAGTTCATCAATTTTAATTCTTAAATTATCCATCATTTTTATGCTAATCTCACTGTTAATTAAAGAAACCTTTTGAAACACAAATTTTAATATTGTGTCAGCGCTCAAAAGTGTTGAATTTCTACTAAGGTTCCAGTAGTTAAGTACTAAGTAGTACTAGTAGTTTAATTGGTTTCATTACCTCTAGTAAACCTTTAAAGGCATCAAAATTTACATTATTGACTATATTTAAATCTGCCTTAAAATATAATAAAGTTTCTCTTTTTTCTAACCTACCTCCAACCCAAACTGCTCTAACTACTATTAACCCTGACTTGTAAAACCTTCTTCATTGTCATCACCATTAACTAAGTAAAAATCAGTTAACAAACCTTCTCTGGAGACATGTTCAGTTTTTCATCTCATTTATCCACAAAAATGTTTTTTATACAACTTGATTACAATGATGATTTTTTAAATGGAAGCTTTGATAGTGACAAAGGTTTGTATCTATCTACAAGTTGCTTGTATTTCATCGTACTTCTTTGCAGTTTCATCTTTATCTATCTTCAATTTGTTTTTTAGGGGCTGAATTGTAAGTTGCATTATAGTTGAATTTTGTCATAGAATTTGCGGTTTGAACATCTTATTAAATTCAATACAAGTATATTTCAACTTGACTTGTTTTATTTAACTGCATTTAAGTACAAGCAATAATTTGCAATTATTATTTTATTAGTCAGGAAACGCATGCAGTTTTTTGTCTTTTTTTGTTTTGTTTGTTGTCTTGTCAAAATAAAAAAAATTAAAATAAATTTAAATAGAAAAAAATTAATAAATTAAATAATTTGTGTACTGTTTTTATTTTCGTTTGTTTATTAAATTTCATTTGTTTATTAAATTTAGTGTTTCATAAGATTTTTTTTGCAATACATGTACTTGTTACATTAAGATTTATCATTCGTAACCAGACTTGTAAACCAGTTACTTTAGTGGAACACATACAGCCTTAAGGAAAAAGGAGATTTTATTAGAGTAAGATATAACTAAAAACTATTAAAAGGTGTTGGACATATGTCCAGTATAAAAGCATAAAATTCAAACAAAGATTTGTTATTAATAATTGTTTAAGTATATTTCACCAATAACATAGTAGACCAAAAGGGAGGGGGCAGTTAGAGCTAAGCGCACTGAGCCGAATGGTAAAAAGCAACAGATATTAGAACGCACTAAAAGATTATGGATATAAACATACAGGAATAGAAATGTAATATTAAACAATTAAGTTAAAAATGTGTAGATGGCGTAATTACATAAAATAAATACATAAAACTATGTATATATGTGTATGCGCCTTACTTAGACCTTACTAAGAGTCTTAAATGGTATAAGAAATCTGAATGTAAGGAGATGTGCATGATTCAAAAGCATACAACAGAAAGATTATATATATCATATTTATAGACAAAATAGAAAAGATAAATGGTTACAAAGGAAATATATAAGCAGTGGGATTTAAAAGAAAAACAATGAAAAATTGGATAGTGGTGAGATTTAAACTACAGCCATTCTGTGTGTGAAGTAAAATTATATAGAGTATATAATTTTAACTGTTAAACATGCGTATACTGATGAACAAATAAATATAATTATATAATTAAAAAAGTGATGTAGATAGTAATGAGGTAGTTATGTATATATGCATACATGAACAAACTAACATATGAGTATGCTATAAATAGACATATTCGTCTAGGGACAATATATACTTGTTACATTAAAATTATGCAAATATATTATACAAAGAAATAACAATTCATTTTTTTTTTTTCTTCTTTAAAAAAACTATAAGAAAATCATTCTTTTTAATGTTGACTTGTAACTTTTTTCTTCTTTTTTTTTTGCTTTACCTTATCCAATTTTGTTGCTGAAAATAACAGCCACCATAAACAAACAAAAATAAAAACAGTACATAAATTATTTAATTTATTAATTTTTTTCTATTTAAATTTATTTTAATTTTTTATTTTGACAAGGCGACGAACAAAAAAAAAAAAAAAAAAAAACTGCATGCGTCTCCTGACTAATAAAATAATAATTGCAAACTTGTACTTAAATGCAGTTAAAAAAAACAAGTCAAGTTGAAATATACTTGTATTGAATTTAATAAGATGTTCAACCCGTTAATTCTATGACAAAATTCAACTATAATGCAACTTACAACTCAGCTCCTAAAAAACAAATTGAAGATAGATAAAGATGAAACTGCAAAGAAGTACGATGAAATACAAGCAACTTGTAGATAGATGCAAACCTTTGTCACTATCAATGCTTCCATTTTTATTTTTGATAATGATGTTTCCATCTTTAATAAAGAAAATCTAAATACAAAAGAAAGTATTACTTGTACAACTTGTTAAAAGTTGAGAAAGTGCTTCATGGATTGTTGAATATTGTTTAACAATCCATGTAGTTTAGAAAAAGGTCCATTTTACAGAAAACAGAAAATTTACTTTAAACACTTGATGTTCTTCAAAAGAACAATATTATAAGGTGCACAGTTTAGAAAAAGATTTTTTTTTTCAATTTTACCTAATCGTAACTAACAGCATTAAACATTGACATTAATAATCAAATTATTATTAATAGTTAATTTAACTTTTTTAAACTTTTGTTTTCTGTTTAAAACTCCTTATTTAGATAACTAGCTTTCTTTTTTTAAATTTCTTCAAAATCAATACTGTCAATGTTTAAAATAATTTTTAAATGTTTTTTTAATTTATAGAGAGTCTTTAAACTTATGTATTGCTTTTATTATTATCATTATTCTTGTTTTTATATTATTATTATTATGTTATTATAGTTAAAAATTTATTATAGGCTGCAGCAAGCAATTACATTGAGCTGATTTTAAAAGAAAGTGATAACAATGTGAAGCTTATTGTACTTGACAAGTTGATCAAGTTGAAAGAAAATCCAGTTCATGAAAGAGTCTTACAGGTTGTATAAACATATAGAAATGTTTGCGAATATTTATGTGAAAATAATTAATTAGATATTTTGTGTGTATTTTTACATGAACTTTTTAGATGTGTTTTATTAATGTGTTTAGGAATTAGTAATGGATATTTTGCGTGTGTTAGCTAGTCCTGACCTTGAGGTTCGAAAGAAAACATTGGACTTGGTACTTGAGTTAGTAACTCTAAGAAACATAAATGAGGTTAATTTTTTTTTTTATATTTATAAGTTTATTTTTTTAAATTATAAACAATTAAATATTTGTTACTATCAAGATTGTATTAATTTACTATCCTATAATTCTTTAGGTTGTTATGATTCTTAAAAAAGAGGTTACTAAAACACACACAGAAAGTGAGAAGGGAGATTTAATAGGGAACTATCGTCAAATCTTAGTGAGAACACTTCATTCTTGTTGCATCAAATATCCTGATGTTGCTCCAACAGTTGTGCCAATGCTAACAGAATTCTTGGGTGATGAAAATGAGCAAGCAGCTCTTGAAGTTTTGTTATTTATTCGTGAAGCTGTTCTTAAATTTGTTTCTCTGAAAGCTGTCATATTAGAGAAATTATTAGAAAATTTCCGTACTATTAAGAATGTTAAAATACATCGTCATGCCCTTTGGATTTTAGGAGAATACTGTCAGCAATCAAATGATATTCTAAGTGTTATGAATGAAATTAAAGATGGACTTGGGGAGCTTCCCCTTGTTGATGATGAATTAAGAAAAATGGCAGGTACAAAAGGTGAAGAAACTGATGAAGACAAAAAATCTGTTCCTTCTCAGCGTATGATGGTTACAGCTGATGGTACGTATGCTACTCAAAGCGCTTTTGTTACCAAGTCATCAACAGTCGAAGCTGATACTCGACCACCTCTCAGAAATTATTTGATGAAGGGTGATTTTTTTATTGGCAGTGTTATTGGAAGTACTCTTACAAAACTGGCATTAAAGTTTACAGATGTATCTCAAGATATAGTTTCAAAAAATAAGTTTGTTGCTGAGACTATGTTTGTGATTGCAAGTATTATTCATTTTGGTAAATCTGGTATTCCAGAAAAACCGATCACTGAAGAAGACTTAGGTAGACTTGCAATATGCATAAAAGTTTTATCAGAACAGAATGCTTTCATGAAAAACCTTTTCAAAGTTGAATGTCGAAATGCTGTTTCAGACATGTTGGATGGAAGCAAACAAATAATTCAGTATCAAGGTTTGAATTTTATATCCATTATATGATTTTTTTTTTTAATTTTTATTCTTTTATTTACTGTTGAGTATTTGTGTTTTTTTAAGAAAGTTTTGAAAAAGTTTATTTCTTTAATACTATTTCAATTAGGTTTAAAGTTTATCTATAGATTTAATTTGGCTTCAAAACTAAAGTTAGAAAGTAATAGTGAAAAATAGCAGTGTCTTATTAGATTCGGGAGTAATAGTATATCAGTTAAAAATGCCTGTGACTTTTTAGGTTTAGAAGTAATATGGTATTAGTGAAAAATACCAGTGTCATATTAAATTCAAAAATACAGGCTAGGGCAGGGCCAGATGAGCATAGGGGGAAGTTGGGTGATTAAAATATTTTAAAAACTATGCATCACATGACAAAACATCTAATCAGTGAAAGTTAGGGAATCAGAATGTTAACACAATGCGCAAGAAAAGATTGCTGGAAAGAAATTGAGTAAGATACATGGCCCCTTTCTTTCTTTTGGACCAAAAAAGTAAAAAAACTTTTGCTATTTTTCTCTTGGTTGCTTAAAAAATTTTTATGCCATCACTTAAGTATTGATATTTTATCAATTTTTTTCAACTTTCTATTAAAATTAGATTTTATCAGACTTTCTATTAAAATTAGCTGTCTTATTGTTCTTTTTAAAAACTTATTAATGAGTCACCTTGTTTAATTGGGGTAAGTTGAAAAGCTTTGAAAAAAATAAATTAAACTGAACTATCAAACTCAAAGAAATTACTTGGACAAGAAGTAGTTTAGCGGTACATTATGTATTTTTAGAATTAGTAATTTTTAAATTAGGCTTCAAAGTTCAAAATAGTTGTATAAAATATTTTATATTTCATGACTTTCTTACTATTAAATTTTTTTTCTATTCTCTTACTTATGCCATTAAAGTTTTTAAAAATTAAAATTAAAAAGTTTATAAATTATACATATACTTATTGTTAGTGAAATTTTTATTGATGATTCACCCAAGTTTTGTATCATTTATATTCATTTATTTGTTGATTGGTCAACTTACCCCACCCTATTGCTCAACTTACCCCACTGGGGTAGGTTGAGCAGCTCAGCAAACTTTTGTCAATATCTTCTCAAAAATATCAAAAACTATACTTTTATCTTAACAAATTTTTAGCAAGTTAAATTATCTTTCAAATATTCAATAAGTTATGTAAATCCGATTAACTGTTCATGAAGTTTGTTAGATTTAGTAAAAATTGCTCAACTGGCCATGCTTTACCCTATATGTAAATGTAATATTGGCAAATATTTAAATCATTTAGTAGATGTGCATTTTTTTATGGTGAATAAGTTTTGAACAGAAAATGATTTTCTCCAGTTATAATAGATGTATTAATATTATTTATCATTTTTCTTTACTGTATATTATATATATATATATATATATATATATATATATATATATATATATATATATATATATATATATATATATATATATATATATATATATATATATATATGTAAGTTCAAATTTGTTGTTAATTGCAAAATTTTGTATAATATTTTGCTTATGATTTTTTTATCTACATTATTAACAACTATAAAGTTTAATTTAGGTGAGGTTAATAAAAAAACAGTGTTTTCCCAACCTGATGAATCGATAGCGTTCCTGCAGCTTTTTGTAAAATCAGATCAATCTGTTGCTGAAAATCAGTTTGAAGTCAGTTTACTTCAAGCTATTAATAGTCCTTTGATGAAAAAAGAAGATGAAAGCATGAGTTCAAAGTTAAATAAGGTTGTTTTTGTATATTTTGTATATTTTTGTATATTTTGTATATTGCATATTGTATATTTTTGTATATTTTATATATTTTGTATATTGTTTTTGTATATTTTTGTATATTTTATATATTGTTTTTGTATATATATATATATATATATATATATATATATATATATATATATATATATGTATGTATATATATATATATATATATATATATATATATATATATATATATATATATATATATATATATATATATGTATATATATATATATATATATATATATATATATATATATATATATATATATATATATATATATCTGTGTGTGTATTTTTGTCATAATATTACAACAATTTTGTTTTTGACTGGCTTTTAACTTAAATATTTTTTTAGAAAGAGGAATATATTGTGTGGTTTTATGTTTTATAATCATAATGTTTAGATACAAGATAAAATTTTAAACATTTACAGTTTTAACTATTACAGGTAGCACAACTGACAGGATTTTCTGATCCAATTTATGCAGAAGCATATGTTAACGTGAACCAATATGATATTGTTTTAGATGTACTTATTGTTAATCAAACCACCGACACATTGCAAAATGTTACTTTAGAACTTGCTACTCTAGGTAAGGTTTAATAAAAAGTTAAGGCTTTAATTTTATTAATGCCGTTAGCTTTATTTAGTTAATGTGTAATATTAATTCAATATATAATATTAATTCAAGTTATTTAATAGGATTATTTTAAATTCACTAATTAATACAAATATAAGAATTATTACCAATTTCAATATATGCAGTCAGTTATGCGGCAAAGATGTAGAGCCTTTACTGCCTAATTGAGAGGTAAACAATTCAAACTTCACCACATCACTGGTAATATTGGACTTATTTTGTATCATATGAATATGCTAAAAAAAGTGTGTTCTTTTAGCATATTAAAATAGCATAATAAAAACCATAAATTTAATTCTATAAAATAAAAACAACTTATCAGAATTTAACAAATAGAATTCTTGCCTGTTTTTTTTTTTTTTTTGCCCAAGATTTTACTTTAAGAAAATCAAGACATGCATAACTTTTTTGTTTTCAATATTAAAAAAGACAAGTGGTGATCAAAAGTTGAGAGAAATAGATTACAGTTTATGTATTAGTATCTAAATACTGAATAATTATAGGAAGTATTTTGCTTGTGACGTTTTTTATATTTTTTTATATCTTTACACTTCCTCCAAAGTAACCAAATAAAAAGTTCTACTTTTTTAATTTAAAATCCTGAAGGTAGCATTTTTTCTATAAAAAAAAACTGAATCAATTTGTTATTATAAGGAAAAGATTTTAAATCAATATGACTACCTAAAAATGAACAAACATGTTGTTTTGCATGTATAGGTATATTAAAATATAGTCTTCCAACAAATTGGCAGTTTATTATAACTACTAAAAAAAGTACTATTTAGTATCATTGCACATTATTTTGGCATAGTCTTAATTGAGAAGCTTATCAATTTTTAATTGTGTAGTTTCATTCCACATGGCTTCAATAGTTTTATATAACTCTTCAACGTATTTGAAGAGACCTTTGTGTTTTAGAGAAAATTCAACTTCATGCCATAAATATTCCATTGGGATAAGATCAGGTTATTAAGTTGACCATTTCATAACTTCAATTTGGTTTATTGCAAATCATTGTTAAACGAGTTTAGATTTTAGTTTCTATTTGTGTTTCCGGTCATTGTCTTGTTGAAATATCTATAGAAGATACATTATTGTCAGCATCAGAAAAAAGTTTTTTTTTTTTTTTTTTTTTTTTTCTCTCGCATGCTGGCAATATTCTATTGATTCATTTAAGAAATAAAAGGCTTTGAAGCTTGAAAATCCTGAAAGTTGTAACTGTCTGCAAACTGTATTTTCGGAACCAAAAGTTTCAGTTTTTTAATGGTATCTTTAGTGTTGTCAATAGGCTTTTTTCTGACGTTAGGAATAATTTTTCTGTCAATGAAATGACATTGCTCATATTTTTTGAATGACAGTGTATAGGATTAAGTCTATTGCAAGATTGTTAGTATGTTTGAAGAAACAATTTTTATTTTAGAATAGTATTTACTTAATAGAAATCTATTTATTCTGAGTTTTTTTTTTAAATCTAAAACATGGTAAACAAAAATACAACTCTACAGTTTTAAAATAAGAACCTTGATGAACAAAACCATAAAGAAATAGTTATGTGCAGTTATGTGGTGAAATTGGGGCTATGTGTTGCTTAGCTACAAACCATTTATATTTATATATTTATTTTTAACATATATATATATATATATATATATATATATATATATATATATATATATATATATATATATATATATATATATATATATATATATATATATAATTTTAAATTTTGTCATGGGTTTTTAACAGATTGATAAAAATTACTTTTTTAGGAGATTTAAAGCTGGTTGAAAAACCATCATCTGTTACATTAGCTGGACATGACTTTTCTAATATTAAGGTCAGCATTTTAATAATTTTGTTTAGGTACTATTTTAATTATCTTAATATGTATATATATATATATATATATATATATATATATATATATATATATATATATATATATATATATATATATATATATATATATATATATATGTATAAAATTTAAGCGACATCTTTAATAGTATAACACACATATGTGTGCTATAACTATATGACTCACTATATGAGCTGAAATATCACTTATAGAGAAAAGAAATAAATAGTATGATACTGTATATGATGTTTTAATGCTTATAATTACATATGATAATGATATATATATATTTTTATTTTCAAAAAATCCCATAGAGTTCTTCTCTAATATTTAGGTTTGCAGTTCTATATTATAAACTTATTAAAACACATGTATTTCACACAAAATATCGAACAGTTACAAACTTTTTAATGTCAAACTTCATAAAAAACTCTTAATATCTACTATGTCCTCTTTTTGTCTTAATCACAGCAGATATTCGCCCGGTATTAGATTCATACAAATTAGTTATAAAATCCAGAGGTATGTTGTGCCATTCTCTTTGAAGTACTTTAAAACATTCTTCAGCATTTCGGGGAGCATGTTTGACCTTCTTTCTGTCCAGGTAATCCCAAATATGCTCAATTATATTTAAATCTGGACTCTGGGGTGGCCAGGTCATCAATTACTACCAGTACTCCTTCTTCTGCCATTTCATTTAAATAGTTTTTAGCCACTCGGGAACAATTTTTTGGGTCATTATCCTGCTGCAGAATAAAATTATGACTTATTAGTCTCATTCCGGATTATACAGCATGGTGCCTTAGGATATTCCCATAACAATCCCCGGTGAGTAGCCGGGGATTGTTATAAAAAATAGCCCCTCTATTTTGATCAAATCACCTACTCCAGACAAAGTTAAACAGCCCCAAACTTATAAAGAGCCTCCTCTGTGTTTAATAGTAGGGTTTAAACACTGGGGCTGATAGGCTTCTCCAATTCTTCTTTGAACATATTGGCATCTTTTTATTCGAAAAATTTCGAATTTGGACTCATTGGTGTACAGAGCCTGATGAAACATTTCCTGAGCCCAATCTTTGTGTTGTTTCGCATACATGTTGCATTTTTAAATGTTTCAACATAAAAAAATGCAAACTAATAACTTTGTTTAATTATTTTTAACTATTCAGTTAACTGTGTTCGTAAAAAATAACAATTTTTTAAAAATGTACCTAAACCCATCATTTTTCTACTAAACTAAATTCTATGACTGCACTTTATATTGTCAAAAACTTAAATGAATATCGCTCGATACAAACTTAAGAGCAAAAAATAGCTTCTCTACACTTGCTTGTGAGATAGGTATACAAGTGACAACTCTGCACGCTTCTTGTATTCTTTTTGGGTATTCTTCAATTCATTCAAAACTGAATTCACTTTTGAATGTTTCATTTCTTCCATGATCCTACATTTGTCCAAAAAATTTGTTTTAAAAGTATTTTTATCAAAAAAATTAAAAAGAAGCGTAACTAAAATTAATTTTGGTCACACTTCTTCTTTTTTCTTTTTTACTTATCATGCTCCTTTTCAATCCTCTTCTCCTTTGGAATTAGATTCACTTAAAACTGAAAGAAAATACTGTAGATAGCACAGCAGTATTTCTTATTTCTTGACTTACTATTATATTCTTGGCATTGCTTTTATAAATTTTTTCTGCTATTGTTTTTAAACCTTGTTTTGCTCATAATATTTGGTTTTCCTCTAATAGTATTGTATATCTAACATCAACATAAACTGCAGCTAGAAGTATATCATTATCAAAAGGTTTTTCTACTTGTTTCTGCATAGATTTTGAAATGTCTTCTGCAAATAGTCCTTGATCTCTAGGTCAGATTTCAGTTTCAATCATTCCTTTGGGAACTCTCCTGTAGTAATGTTGATTAACTGTCACATTATGTGGCTTTTTTAAAAGATTGCAAATATGACTAGATTTATCCCATATTTCAGGGCGTAGAAAGAATATCTGATTAACTGCAGCAAATTACTTTCACTAGACGCATAAGTAATAATCTTTCAATTATCTGGAATGTAGAACCCCAGCGTGTCTCATCATCCGAAATTGAAACAACCTTGCATTGCTTCCTTGCTAAAAATATTGTATGTAAGTTTCTTAGCTTCTTTACAACCTGACAGACTTTTCCAAAAGTTGGGCAATGTATGTTTTTTTTAAATCATACCAATAGCTAGCTGGAAAGTGTGAATAACATCTGCTTTATGTCAGTAGACAATTGTTGACACAATTCTGGGTTGATAAAGGCTAGATTTTCTTCCTTAGCTCCTTCAATTTCTTCTTCATTTGTATCCTGTTGTAAAAATTCCACTTTTTCTTAATCATGCAAAGCTTCATCCCAAAAAAAATTTCATCGCTTGAATATTTGTTTAAAATTGTGATTGCTCTAATCATATTGGCTGCATTGTCTACACTTGCACTTACTATTTGATCATTGCTGATACCAAATCTATATGGAGTATCTTCCACCATTTTTTTGATAGCAACAGGTTTGCGCTGTCCTTGTGTATCTATCAGCGCCAAAATTTTTATATATTTTTTTGCATAATAATATTGAATATTTATTTCCAAATAGTTCTTTTGGTGTCGAGTGGCTGCATCTATTTTAACATAAATAAATTTCGGTAATAATATTTCCTTTATTTCAGCTTTCTATTTTTTCAACAAATTCATTTATCAAATTGCGTACAGAATTGTGTCTGGTACTGAATCCAAGGCTTTTACCTATTTGACCTGCAACCAATTGAAATCCTTCATCCGCAAATGTTTTCATTATAACTCTGTTATTCACCATTTTAATAATTCCAAATTTAAAAGTTTTAGCACTAACTTGATTTATTGTTCAACTACTAGTAATAACAAAAGAATCTAAAGTAATCTGTTTAGTTTTTATAGTATTGAAATCTTGATAAAATAATTTTGAAAATTTTCTTTGCGGCCATAAGGCTCATTTCAGATTCAGCAATTATATATTCTAATAGATGTGATTTTTCCAAATGCTGTTTCATGTTGTAAACTTTTGATTTTTTTATTTGTATGGCGCATGAAATCACTTTATCATTTAACTTTTCTGTAATCTTACATGTAACCAGTTTTATCTATATATACTTATCTAGAAACTTATCTAGAAACCTCTCAGGATCGTTTGAGCTTGAATTTGTTAAAATTTTAAAAATAGATATAAATGTTTATATCTATTTCAAAAATGTTTCAACTAATTAAAAACGTTAAAACAAATCATGTGACTTAAAACAACACATAGACAAAGTATTTTTTTGTTAAGAAGTGTCCATAAAGTACGTTCATAAAAGATTATACATAAAGTATGCTCGAATGGGGGAGAGGAGTCAAATATAAAAGTAAGGAGACACTAAGTTAAAAAAAATATCATAAAATGTTGAGTAGGTAGGTTAAAATGGTAGTTATTTTAGATAAAAAAAAGTACCTACTCTTAATTTCAAAAAAGTGTAAAGCAAAATGCAGGATGTTGGAAGGGACATAAAAAAAAAGCTTAGGTACTTTATGGATGATCCCATAACCAATCATTGACATTGCTTAGAAGTATTGTTTTCAAGTCACTTATCATACTCCACAATATGAACCACATGACATATTACATAAAATAATTGAATAAAAATAAAATTCTCAAAAAAAAAAATTTTTTTTTTTTAATAAACCCTATGAAAAAATGCATTGTTTAGATATTATAATTATTTTAATGAGCGTAATTGTTTAAATTCTTTAAAAAAATCTCATTATATAAAATAATAATGGAAATTTGATATTTCAAATTATAGAAAGGGTGGAGCTGGCTCGGAGTTGGCTTCCGAGCCAGCTCTGGCAGGAAATACTTTAGCTCCAGCTCCAGCTCAGCTCCATGTAAAATCACCAGCTCCAGATAGCTCCGGCTCTAGCTCCTGCTCCAAAGCCCTGTCTGTAGTTATTATGACACATCATTTTAATAAATAAACAAACAAATCCCTCATGTTCCCTCATCAATTTTGTTTATTTATTCAAAATAATATTCTTATAATATTTTTATTAATATTAATATAATATTCTTATTCATAAATATATTCTTTTAAATTCATATTCTATTCAAAATAATATATTCTATAACTTTTCTTATATATTATTAAAATTAAGTACAGTTTAAAAAAATTACATAGGAAAAAAGTTGTAAACGTATAATTATACAATTGGTCTAAATCATATATGTATACATCTAATTATAAAATTGATCTAAAACATATTCACAGTACTTTTTATATATATATATATATATATATATATATATATATATATATATATATATATATATATATATATATATATATATATATATATATATATATATATATATATATGTATATATATATATATATATATATATATATATATATATATATATATATATATATATATATATATATATATATATATATATATATATATATATATACATACATACATATATATTGTTGTTTTGATTATTTGATAATAATCAACTCTTTTTCAATTTGAGAGTTATTAATATAAAGTGAAATAATCACAAATAGATTAAAATAAATAAAAAGTTAGATGAGAAAAAACAACTTTACCGTTAAAAAGTTGTTTTTTCTTATCTAAACTTATATATATATATATATATATATATATATATATATATATATATATATATATATATATATATATATATATATATATATATATATATATATATATATATATATATATATATATATATATATATATATATATATATATATATATACATACATATATATTGTTGTTTTGATTATTTGATAATAATCAACTCTTTTTCAATTTGAGAGTTATCAGTATAAAGTGAAATAATCACAAATAGATTAAAATAAATAAAAAGTTAGATGAGAAAAAACAACTTTACCGTTAAAAAGTTGTTTTTTCTTATCTAAACTTATATATATATATATATATATATATATATATATATATATATATATATATATATATATATATATATATATATATATATATATATATATATATATATATATATACACACACAGACATACATAATATATGTTTGCTTGTTTATTAGTGGTATGTGTTTGCTTGCTTACTAGAAGTAAACTAGCAAACAAGCATGAAGTTTTTGTTTTATTTTTTCAAAGATTTTTTTAAAATGGTTACAGATCAAAATGTTTTCTGATATGATTATTTAAGGTATATATACTCTACTATTTCATTCAGGTAACAGATTTTTTTTTAAGGCAAGTGTTAAAGTTGCATCAACAGAAAATGGAATAATATTTGGTAACATTGTTTATGATGTGAGTGGTGGAAGTGGTGATAGAAACTGTGTTGTCTTAAATGATATTCATATTGACATCATGGATTATATAATTCCTGCATCTTGCACAGATACAGAGTTTAGGCAAATGTGGGCAGAGTTTGAGTGGGAAAATAAAGTTAGATTTTTTTATTTGGTTAAAGTTTTTATTCTAAAATAACAGTTAAAATAGATAAAATAATATTGTAAAAATAAAAAATATGTTGAAATAATATAAAGAATAAAGTAAAGTAAAAATCATCAAGTATCTTCTAGGTGACTGTTAACACTAATATTAAATATTTTTAGGTCTCTGTTAACACTAACATTACAGACACTCGTGAATATCTTGATCATATTATCAAATGTACAAATATGAAATGTCTTACGCCCGAAAAGGTAACTACACTATTTTTTTAAAACATTTTATTGATCCTATAGAATTCTTACATTTATAAGTTTTGAAATTATATATTTATATTTGAAGTTAAAATTTTTGGTTGATTGATCAACCAATAAGGCAATTCTTGGTTGATTAATCAACCAATAGGTCAATTCTTGGTTGATTGATCAACCAATAGGTCGATTCTTGGTTGATTGATTAACCAATAAGTCAATGCCATTTGGAACATCTAAAATATTTTAATATTTTGCTTTTGAACTTTGAATTTTATAATGAATAATCTAAAAACAACATTATAAATTTTATTTTTATTTTTTTATCTTAAGTTTATTTACAATAAGGTTGATTTGTTTTTATAAAATTTTTCACTTTTAAGATTTTTAAAAATATTTAGAAAATAAGGCTCTAAAATATTGAATTGTTTTATGAAATACAATATTGTATTTTATAAAGCATATTATAGAACACAACAAATAAAACTTTTTTTATATATGCTAAGCGTCCATATGATCTTTTCAGACCTCCTACCTACCTCTAAGCAACCTCCTACCTACCTCCCTGTGAGTCAACTTAAAAGAGATTTTTTATCTTTGCACAGTTAAAAATCAAAATTAATAAGTTATCCCAGAGAAGGTTAGATTCCTAATTCAAAGTAGTTCTCAAAATAAACAACTTTTAAATATCATTTAAGGTCAGTTTAAATTGAAATTGAGAAAATTAAAATCAAAACCTGTAGATTATTCAAATGCAATGAAGTTATGAAACAGTTTTTTACTGTGAACCTTTTTTTAGTCATGAATATTCAAATGAAATATTTATTTAATTAAAAAATTAAATAGTATTTTATAGCAAATAGTATAGGTTATTTAGAAAACATTATTATTAAAGTCCACTGATGTTTTTTTTGTTTGTTTTTTAACACTTCTTAGTCATATTAATAGTCATAATTTATAACTTTTTTTTTTTAAGTGTAGGTGTAGTATGTTGCTTACTTAAGTGTAGGTGTAGTATGTTGCTTACTTAAGAGTAGGTGTAGTATTTTGCATACTTAAGAGTAGGTGGAGTATGTTACTTAAGAGTAGGTGTAATATGTTACTTAAGGGTAGGTGTAGCATGTTGCTTACTTAAGAGTAGGTGTAGTATGTTACTTACTTAGGAGTAGGTGTAGTATGTTGCTTACTTAAGAGTAGGTGTATTATGTTGCTTACTTAAGAGTAGGCATAGTATGTTTCAACAAATTTATTTTTAACAAAATTAGTATGTTTCAACAAATTAGGAAGTTGTTACTTTTATTTTAATTTTAGTCATCACATTTTTTCACAAGTTTATTTTTAAATAAAAAATTGTGAAAAAAAACTTAAACACCATCTAAAGGTTTAAAGAGAAATAATTAAACAAAACATCAAGTAAAGAAATAACTCAAAAAGACAAAATAAAATAAAATATAGGAACACTTATCAAGCAATTAAATGGATATCATGAACAGTTGAATGAATATCATGTTATCTGTAGTTCTAAGTCAAAATTTTTACATATCATAATGAAAATCATTAGTTTCAATAGTGATTAAATTATCTCAGCCTGAATTCATCTCCAAATGTGCTACTACAAACTACTTGAAAAAAACGAGAGTTCATCAGTTTTGCAACAATGTTTTATCATAATTTTTAAAATGTATAGCAGAATAAAGTCATAAAGCATAAAAGACTCCTTCTTTCCCTAGATGATTGCTGTCTATCTTATTCTATCTTTAGGAAAAGTATAATGGCAGAATTCCATCGTCAGGAAAAGTATAAATCTTGAACATTGGAGTTTCTTGCTGGTCTATTGATAATGGTATTTGTTATTTGTCAAGCCCCGTGTTTGTTAAGAATTTTAATAAACATGCATTTTTAATAAGCTGAGTTTCATCTTTGATTTTTTTCAAAAGTGAAAATATAAAAATGATATTAGAAATAGTTCAATATTTTATCTTATCATTCCACTTGTCAGATTATAATAGACCAGTTTTTCCTGTTGGCAAAAACTCACTAAAAATGTTAGTTGGCATTGATACATTTAACTAAACTTATTACAATGCTCTGTTGGTTTAAAAATGGAAAATGTGACTCTAGAATCATTTACAAGTCAAGCCATTTTTTTTGATGCATTAATAATAATGGTAATGAAATGAATGGTAATGAAATGCAATATTTGTGATTCTCTAAAATTAAAGGAATCAAATTCTTGATGAATATGCAAAAAATAAAATGTTTGTAAATGTTTCTTCTGTCATTCACCCAGTTTGCTGCATAACAGCATGAATTGTTGTAATCCCTGTTTTTTCAACCATTCAATGCAAAAATTGAATTTTACAATAAAACTTGAACATTGTTTATTAAATATGCTGAATGTCAAAATATCTATTAAAAGCTGACATTTAACTGATTAATGTAGCTCCTGGTTTCCAAAATGATAATTTCTGGTTTTGTTTCAGAAATTTAAAATTTTGTTTTCAGAAATTTAGTTGACTATTCCTTACCAGCTTTTTTATTTTAAAATAAATTTGTTGATCTGTTGACTACATATTTTTTGGCAGATTGTTTTCAATTTGTCTGACCATCCATCATTTTTTGTATTGTACATGATTGTACATGATTGGGAAATTAACAATTGCTCTTTCCGTGTGACAATAATAAAATCACTTGTTATAAGTTTTTCTTGAAACTTCTTTTGAAACTTTTTTTTTTTTAGTTATTTTTTTAGTTGTTATTATATATATTTTTTATTTTTAGATTGTAAAACTGTTCAACATAAAAAATCATAAATAAAATATATAATATATAAATATTAAAATATATGGATATTTCAAAATTTAGTTTTGAAATCACATAACTGCAACAAAATTAACTTATATATTTATACAAAATATTTTATTGTGTTGAAATAACCGTTAGTACTGAAGTAAACGGTTACACGCTCGCGGAAAGTGTGGAGCTTTCCTTCACACCGGTGTGTGGCTGTAACTCCTAGACACGAGTTATTTTGCACACTTTTGTGGAAATTAACTTTTTCTAACTCGACTTCTGCACATAAGTGTGTAGTTATTTCCAAAAAAGTATACAAAATAACTCCACACTTGTGTCTAGGAGTTATAGCTACACGCCGGTGTGGAAGAAAACTCCATACTTTCCGCGAGTGTGTACTTCAGTAATTCAAAGTTCTGAATAAACCATATTTAATAACTCAAGTTTACAGAAATTCAAAAAAAAAAAAAAATCAGTAATAAAAACATCTAATATGTAAACAAAGAAAAAGTAATGAAACATGTCATAAATAGACATTTTAGTTAATGACTTTTTGTTCTGTTTATTTTGGCACCGATCTTTCCAATGTTTTGAAAGAAAAAAAAAGGTTATGAGTATTATTACCAACCAGGTATAAAAAGTTGCACTTGACTCCACTCCAGGAACTCGATCTTTTCATCAGACAAAAAAAAAAAAAAAATGGTAAAGTTGAAACCAATGTTTTGATATTTATGTTTAATATAATAAAAGTTGGTATTATCAAAAATGTGAATGATAAACAGCTTTATAGTTAAATTGTAGTTTTTATTGACTTTGGTTTTATGGCAAAAATTCTTTACTACTTAAAGGATGATGTTTTTAAGAAAATGTAAAACATTCTTGAGATGAAAAAGTAAAATTTACTAATTGATAATTTTAAATAGGAATATAGCAACAACTATCAACCACTAAAGCTACTTTTTTGCCTCTCAACAGCGCAAAACTTTTTATCAAAAATCAATGTTTAAAAGTCAACTTTTAAGTTATCTTTCGTGACCTATTTTTTTTAATCTAAATTTTCGTCTGTGTGATGTTGTAACTAAGTAATTTTTTATAGTTAAATTGCTTTTCTGATTTAATATTGAATTAGTTATTGTAACTTTCTTTTTAACTTTTCTTCAACACCTCTATTTTTACCACAGGCAATATCAGGTGATTGTGGTTTTCTTGCTGCAAACTTATACGCCAAAAGTATATTTGGCGAGGACGCGTTAGCAAATTTGAGCATAGAAAAACCGTTAAATGGTGGTCATGACGCCTCAGTCATTGGTCATATTAGAATTCGTGCCAAAAGTCAGGTAAAGTTCAACCAAGTTTTATAATTTAATTTCTTTTTAAATATTTTATGTGTGTGCGTTTTAATGCTGTTTGAAGTGCAAAAAAGTGATCGATTAATTAAATAAGAGCTGATATATATATATATATATATATATATATATATATATATATATATATATATATATATATATATATATATATATATATATATATATATATATATATATATATATATATATATATATTATAACTAAAGAATGCGTTTAACTTTTTGTGTAAAAATTCGGAAATATATAATAATATATCTATTTGGTAAATCTATACCATTTACTTTTTTAATTAGATTAATTCTTAATAAAATAAAATTGTTTGTTGTTTTTTTTTATTATTATAAGTTTTTGTTTCTCACTATTAAATTTTTATTTATTAAATTTTAAAGCAAATGTTTTTTCAGGGTATGGCTTTGAGTCTTGGCGATAAAATCAATCTCTCTCAAAAAAAGATAGTAAAAATATAGAACTTTGTAAAAGAAAATAAATCCATCATTTTATATTGTTTTTTTTTGTTGTTGTTGTTGTTGTTGTTGTTTTTTTATGTTTAACGTGAAACTATCAGCAATTTGCCAAGTTATATTTGCTGCAGATGCAAAGTATACATTTATAAGCTACAAGTTATAAGCACGTTGTAATAACTTTAATTTTATTCCACTTGAGTAATCTGCGCGTTTTTAGTAATAACTTTATTTCAAGTTGGTCAACATTAACTTAAAAAAAGTTATTACATTCTTCTTTTTATTTCGCTTGAAAAAATCTGCGCGTGCATGCACAATGTTGAATTTTATGAATTCCATTTATCATTTTAATGGAATGACATCGTTTGTTAAGTCGTTTGTTTAAAAAATACAAAAACAAATATTTGCTATGGCAACAAAGTGAGCTTTTTTCGGAAACCAGATACTGCTAATTATAAAACCAAAGCCAACGGGGGTGTTTGAATAATTATTCGAGGAAAAACAAATAGCTACATTATAATAAAACAAAAGAAATTTAGTTAAAGAAAAAAAATCACACCAATGTATTAAATGTTCAATAGATAGTACCAAAAATAGCGCAGAAGTGTTCGTATGAATTTTTAAAATTAATAAATCCTTTATAGAAGAAAAAGTTTAAGCGAATGCTTAAATAAATGAAGTTTTTATTTTTTAAATATATATGTTTGTACCAGTTTTACCTGAATTTATGATTGTAGAACTCAATTTTTTTTTTCAAAGTTTGACTATTTACATAAAAACGTGGTTGTTAAAGTTTCTTCAAATAAAATTGGTTTGTAAGGTTTGTTAAATGTGTTATTATTTATGTAGCCGATTTGTATATGCAAATAGCCGGCGCCGATAAAATAGACAGTACTTAAAAGACAATACTTAAAAATCTTTCACTCAGAGTTCCTGTTATTTTTTAACATAAACATACTCGGTACGCCTTTAATAGGAGGATATGTTTTGTAAAGTACATCATAAAGTCTTTTGCTCGAGCCGCATATTTGAAATAAATGAGTGGATTCATTGCACATTTTTATATAAAAGGTTGTTTATCATTTTCTAAATGATTTAATTTCTTATATGAACTGATTCATTAATCTCGTAATTACAACTTTTAATAGCACATCCCAATAAAGTTGGTTTAGTAAAACAGTTTCTTAAAATAAATCTATCATTTTATTTCTTTTGCTAGACGACATTGTTTTATCTTCTTTGCATCAGCTTGATATGATTTGCAAAAAAAAAAAGGATAGAACAATGATGGGTGTAATATCTATCAATTTCTCACTTTTTTTTTTTTTTTTTCAAGATAAGTACTTTTTCACCATTATTGGAAACCAAATTGCTAGCTATAGTTGGTTTATACTTTGCCTGCTTTTTATTGAATTCATTAAGCTTATCCTTTTTGAGTGTCCTAAAGTCCAAAATTTTCTAAAAATCTTCTTTATTATAATTTCAATTAAACACTCATATTTAATTGGGTCGCATGGTTGGATGTGTATACTTTGTCTTTAAATTTTAGAATTCAGCAAATTTTGTAAATAATACATCAAAAAAAGATTAAGTTGAAAATTCACCCCTGTTAAGTTCCCATGGGAATTTCGCTTCTTACATAAATATCGTCTTCTGCTAGTTAATTGATTGATTTTACTTTCTTAATTTGTTTGCAAAATATTTTGCTTGCGCGAACAGTTGGAAATAAAAGCTTTTTTTTACTTGAAAAAGTTTTTGACATAAGCCCGCCTTAAAAAGCAGTTTAAAAATACACGCCTGCCAGGTGCACAACGTTTTATAAATGTTTTTATTGAGTAAAAACTCTTAACAATCCACAATGCATTCGTCTTTTTCTCAATTTCATTTATTTTTTAATCTGACCACAATCTTTTAAATTGAATCTCTAATTTAAGTCGTAAGCATGCAGGCATTATGACTTTAAATGTCTAAACGACTTTAAAATAGCTTTAAACGCCATTTTACACATTCTAGGAATTTAAATTTTCAACACTTTATATGTTTCATTTTGTTAACAAAATAATTTTTATAAAGCCAACAATATGTTTAACAAATTCATAAAGTTAAGGTAACTAAATAAATTAACAAGGTATCAAACAATTTCTAACAGTACAAACCATCAAAAGTTAAATTTCATTTACATGCTTTAAATAGATTTTTTTAATAAGTTTTTTTCGATTTAATTTTTAATTTGTTGAATTAAATAAAATACGCTGAAAGAAATTGAAATATCAAATTCAAATCATTTTTATTAAAGAGATAAGGTACGCGCCATTTTTTATTATTATATTTGTTTTTAATTTGTGTAGACCATATGATAAAATCTTATGCTTTTATAAATTTAACAAAAAATAAAAGTAAATTTTTAATTTTGTATCTTTATATGTGTGTGGCGGAAAGAGGGGAGGTGTAAATGGGAGTGTTTAATTGCGAAATCAACACACTTTATGTTAAAAGTTGTATTTTTGAAAGTTTTAAATATATCTAAAACAAGGGAAATTTATATTATTGTTTATATAAATGATTAGTTTATGAATTATTAAATGTACAGACATCGATTGATGTTTGTACGGATACGCGGAACACAATGAACATTTATAGGCTGAAGCTTTTGGTTGGGAAAGGGTTTAGTCAAAATAACTATATATATACATATATAATTATATATATATATATATATATATCCTCGCTCAATGTTTTGAAATATATATATATATTTCAAAACATTGAGCGAGGACTTTTTAGAGAATTTTTAACTCTAATCTACTTTAATTCGGCGTACATTTTAAATCGTACTTCAGTATTATGTTTTAACCGTGAATAAACGTTTAATCGATAAAGTTTATCTTCGTAAACATAGTAAACAATTTTTAGCTCAGTGCGTCGTTTGGCAAAAAGTGTCTTCGATACTATTTATAAAGAGTTTTTTCATTTCTATTATTTCAAGTAGCGTGTTTTAAAAGTACAATTGTTGGTAGCATTTTTATTAGTAATAATCAAGTTGAATTGCGGTTATCAATCTTCATACGTCAATCAATTGATACTTTTGGTGTTAGTTGAAACGTTATTCATGTCAAAACATTTATTTTTGTTTAAAGCGGATGGTTTCATGGATTATGAAAAAAAAAAATGCGGACGCCATGACTTTCCTCGTTTTTGGCGCTTTGCGCAAACTTTTATAAATAGCATTAAAACAAAATCGCGTTAAATGCAATTTTTGTCGGTAAATGTTAAAAGTCGGCAATTTAAATGAATCAAACAGTCGTTATAAATGTTCCATTTATGCTTAAGATATATGAAAAAGAAATTTTTGTGTCAATTTGTACTGTTTATAACATACATAAAGTAATTTTGCAATTAAAAAATACTTTATTGACTTCAAAATGTATACTTTGATTAGACTCTAATTAAAAAGACAACAAGGTAAATAAAGAGGATTAGATTCTTTACTAGGGCTCAACTGACATATGAAAATACAATTTACAGGGAATACAAAACAAAACAAAAAAACGCAAAGCACTATTTTTTTAATTTTATTTTTATATATATTTACTAATATGTAAATGCGTTGTACATAGTTTTTTGTTCAACCTTTCTTAAATTATTTTTCTTAATGAGATTTAAAAATAAATAGGATTTATACTTAAGAAATAAATCCATTCTTATTTAGTTAAGTTTCTGCGTGTATGGTTTTTATTTGGGTTTTTGAAAAGTTCAGGTTTTTAAAATGTGGTTTAAGGTTTGAGTCGTGAAAATTGCTTATATGTTTAATTTATTCATAACAATGGAGTCCAGATAATGCAGGTAGATAACCAATAATTACTTTTTGATCTTTTCTACAATTTTTTGATCTTTACTATGATTCTTTAACAAAAAAAAAAAAAAAAAAGAAAGAAACTTTATTTTATGCGAAATTTTTTAACCAGCTTTTTTTGTTTGTAAAATTTTATTTTTTTCAAAGAATTTTGTTTGCTCAATTTAATTTCTGTTAAAAAAAAAAAAAAAATTAATGTTTTCTAAACGATTTCATTCTGATGTAAGTGTTTTGTTGTCTATAGTTACGTCAAATAAAATATACTAAAAATTGCACAAATTATGAATACGATTACACTTAAAAAATACATTGTGTTTTTATGGGATTTCGAGAGAATACACAGAGTACAATATAACAGAGTAAATTTTAGGAAATTGACGAAAAATAATATTTTAAAAACATGTTGTAAAACATAAAATCACAAAGTTTAATTTTTCTACAAAAAAAATTTTTATTAGACTAAAAACCTTTATCTATAGAGAATATAATAACAAAAAACAATAATAATGATAATAAAAACAAATAAATTTATTAACTAAAACCTGTTAATTTTGGTTATCTTAATTCTAATTCGTTTTGAAATAAGCATGAAAATTATTTAGGTTTAATACTTTTCTACTTAGGTCTTTGCTTCTTTTCGCCAGGTTTGTTTTCTAACAATGTTGCTTTTTATATTGTAGTCTTATTTAGATTAAATAACTACTAGATAGTAAAGACGTCACGTGGCATCTCTACTAGATAGTGTATTAATTCCATGTAATTTTGTTTTATATGGTTTGTTGTTTTGAATGGTGTAATGATTTGTCGAACGCCGCCGTTCCTTTTTTATTAACATCAAATTTGCTTATATTTTTTTTACCAAAAAATACTTTTGTAATATATAATAAAAGGCGGGAAAAAATGTAGGTGTTTGTTTAGCTAATAAAATAAATCGATACCTCACTCGTGTTAACAAATTTGAGTAGATTTTTTTGCTTCCACTTTTCTTCATGCAAACAAGTTCAACTATTCAATGAGTAACTTTGTAATGGAAAAAATGACTTTTTAAAACTATTTATAAATTATGTATGTATGGATTTTTACCGTAGACAGCCAAAAAGCCATTGAAGATCTTTAACAAAGTTCAAAAAGGAAATCTAGTGTTTTAAAGATTTTTCACCTATAAGTAATTAGTTATTAAATAAAGTTAAAACAAAGCATTAAATAGTATTTAAATGAAGGGTTTTTGTTTGCAGTTTAAAACATGAGTTTGCTTAAAGTGTCGAATAAATAAAAAGGAATCGTAATCTGTTTGCACATTAAAATTGACAGCTCAAATATTTCTCTGATTTCTTTAAGAAAACTATGTAGCTTTGAACGAAGAAAAATATAAAGGAATTCGGGTATAAAATATTTTTAATATATAAAAGCGTCATTTTAAAATATTATTTACTTTTTATGTTTTAGAAGAATAAATTTTAAACTTTTTGGATTTTTCACATCAGTTTTATTCGATATCGGAGCTTAAATAATGTAATTAATATATTAATTGGTTAATTTAATGAAATGTTTAAGTTTCACAACAAACTTGACAAAAAAGTGAATGAAGAATGCATTGGTTTTTAAAAATTGGTTTTTATTGAAAAAAACTTTGTTGTTGAACTGCATAAAAGAGCATAAGTAGTTATTCAATAAGCTGTTAGAAAATTATTATCTTGAAGTGCAATTATACATTTCTTTCTTTAGTTTTGTGTTTAAGTGTTGTTTTGAATCAAATTACTGTAATGTTATTTTTTTAGCACGAAATTCAAACAAATTTTTTTGAGAAAAAAAGTATTAGGTGTATAGAGTGCGATTTTTAGGGCTAAGCGGAATGCTATGTAAAAATCTATTTTAATTAAAAAAAAACACATCTTTATAACAATTAATTTATTAAATATTTTATAGTTCAACTAAAAAACTATATAGTAAAAATATGTTCCTGTTTATGGTAGTTCTAACTTTAGCACAAATCCAGAACAGCTTTATGTTGGAAAAAATACTATTAGGAGCTGCCCTTCCTTGGGATGGTAAATGGCCGGTTGCACGCCTCTTTGCATCTGGTATTACAATAGCTGTTAATAAAATCAATAGTGACCCTTATCTATTACCGGGTTATTATGTTGACTTTGAATGGAAAGACTGTCAATGCAACGATAGAGTATCTCTGAGCTCTATAATCGATCTGATAAATATAAATAAAGTCAACGCGATAATTGGACCTGCCTGTAGCGATGGGTGTAAATTAGGGGCGTTTTTAGGTTCCCATTATAACATACCCGTAGTTTCTTACGGGTGTGGTGCTTCGTATTTGTCAGAATCTTCAGTCTACACACATTTCGTTCGAACTATTGGTGATTATAGTCAATCGGGGAAGATATTTGTTAAGTTGATGCAGAAATATAAATGGGATCAAATTGCAATCATTTCCGCAGGACAACGTACGTACAATATTGTTTTAATTTTTTTCTTTTATATATATATATATATATATATATATATATATATATATATATATATATATATATATATATATATATATATATATATATATATATATATATATATATATATATATGTGTGTGTGTGTGTGTGTGTGTATGTGTGTGTGTGTGTGTGTGTGTGTGTGTGACGTTAATAAAAGATTTTTGCGAAGATTCGCCTTCTTACATTCTGAATATGTAGAGGAAAAAAAGTATTTTACATAATTTATTTGTATATTATCTTCAATAAGCTTATGACATAACTTATCAGTTATGGAAGATTATAAACAAACAAATTTAAATTAATTACTAATTACATATTGATAATCCATTTGTATACATGTATAAATAATGTTCTTTTTATTTGAAAACAATAAATAAAACTGTTTGATATTCAAACAGTATTATATTTTAAGTCGTGTGTGTGTTACTAACGACTTAAGCATGGCTTGAGTCAACTAAAGCATGATAAAATTGTTGAAAATTTGAAATGAAAACAAACAATTATTAAATCTCTATTATTTTCATAAAAGAAATAAAATAAAAAAAAACACACAATGAAGATTAGCAAAATATAAAAGATAGTAGTTAACATTAAAACAAAATACTATATACAAAATGTAATATTTTTGAAGGTAACAACCAACACCCTGGTAACAAACGAGACGATGCAAACTTTATATATATATATATATATATATATATATATATATATATATATATATATATATATATATATATATATATATATATATATATATATATATATATATATATATATATATATATATATATATATTTTAAATAAAATTTTTAAAGCCTACGATGTAAATTTTGTTGATATTTGTTGATATTTTTGCAAAAGTGTCATAATTGAAAAACTAAAAATTACTTTAAACGCAAAAGTCATTTCATTAAAAACAACATTTGTTTCGAGGAGTTTCGTTTGTATTTTTTATTGGCATTATCCAGCCGGCATTTGGTCCTAAAAAAATGTCTTTTAAACGTTCAAAAAACGTTCTGAACAACTTTTGAACGTTCAAAGGACGTCTTTTTATTTTATAAAAACAAACCTCCGCGCAATAAAGTTATCTGACTGAAGACCTATTTATATTACTATGATTACATTTTTATCATTTAGCTTTAGACAAATACGCGCTTGTACTTTCTTAGCGCGTACATAAAACTTAGTTCGATTTGTTTATAAATTAGGTTGCGCAACTTTAGGCGTTAAAGTTAACTTAACCAAAAAATAACAATTTGAAAGTGGTCCTAGGCTACAAAAAGATTAAGAACCACTGCCTTTTCTCTCTCTCTCTCTCTCTCTCTCTCTCTCTTAATGTATAAAAAAATATTTTTTTTGTTTGAAAAAGACACCTTTATTTATTAGTATAAGTAAATTTTAGCGCATGGTAGTTGTCTAATGAGATGGTTGCTGCTGTGTCTTGTCAATAAAAACACTAAATTGAGGAATTTTTTTAGACAACTTAAGATGCATATTGTATTTGACGTCTAACCGTTTATGGTTTTTAGTTTTCATTAACACTTATGAGAGTCCTGACTCACAAAGGTACGTAGTAACGAACGGAATTAATATGGAAATTGCTCAATTAAAAAAGAGTGGGTAAGCTTGTGCTAAACTACATCGAAAATCACAAACATATTTTAAATAAAGTTCCACCATTAGGAATAATTCTTGATTGGCATTTTTATTTTGGTCCAAATATAAAAAAATATTATTTTAAGGGAAATTGCGTGCTAACTATTATCTATTACGTGTACTTATGAGACTGGCTTAAATGCCATTATAAGTTTCAGCTTGACTACTCTAAGGCAATTTTTTTTTTTTTTGCAGCAAGAACTTAATGAATAATCTTGTTAAAAAATTGCTGTACGGATTATTTGAGGTGCAAGTTGAGATGCTCCGCTCCTATGCTAATGAAGTTAAAGCAAGACACATTATAATGTTGAAAAAAAAGCATTTTGGTATCCAAGTTTATTGCGTTATAACAAGAAATTTTTATGCAGTTATTTGAAATAATTTGTTTAAAAATCTCATGGATAAGAAGAAAACAGGATAAGATTGAAAAAAGAAATCCTTAGTTGACTTAATATGAAACTCGAGAAGCGGTAGAAGATTAGATATTCTAAACTGTTTTAGAAGATACTTATTTTAACGGCATTTTTTTCGGGTCTAAGTTTAAAAAAGAATTTAAAATGTTCAATAAACAAAAACTTACCTAATAATTCTCTCTTAATAGAGAAATGTCCGAAATTGACGTTCCATTATTTGCTTTATTTTAGATTGTTCGTTTGATGTTTGTTCATTTGCAGCATCCCATAATGGTACAGCTTGCTCCATTTTAACTTTACTTACAAACAAATTAATGAAATTAATGTCAGCTTTATTTGAAACAAATTTTTAAAAAATCAGAAGGTTCTCATCTATCTGAAATTCTATTTAGGTACCTGTATTTAAGGTTAACATATACCAGATATTACGTGGAAAGCAAATAAATCTTTTTCTATTTAACAAACTTTATATGATTATTTGTGTATCAACTACATGTTGTTAAATATCCGGACCACTAATGTCTTAAAAAATAGACTTAAATTTCAAAAATAGTTTTTATTGAATTTAGATTTATCGAAAATTAAAAAAAAAAATTTTTATTGACAAATATATGCTTTTAGAGGTGCTTTGTTTGTAGTAAACAACCCTAAAAAGTTTAGAAAAATTAGTTTTATAATTTCTGATTAAATTTCCTTCTGATTATCTAGAATTTGTAGAGCTCAAGCAGTCGCGAATCTTTCCTGTCAACAATTTGTTTACACAATAAACAATATATAACAGTAAGGCATTTGAATAATCACTAACGGGGACATCTTGCAGAATAACGTTATGAAATAAATTTATGTTTTAGTTTTTTCGTTTCAAAAACTCTCGGTCTCAGAGATTTAAAATTGTTTATTTCTATGCGTAGTAATTACACCAAGTGGTATTATAGAATAGACAGTCTTTTAAGTATAATTATTCCAGAGGCAAGTCAAAATAATGCCTCTGCATTAAAAAAGGAAAATTTTGAAATATAGTTTGTAAGCTTTAAAAGCTGTAATCAACTTAATAAGTGCGAATTGGCATTTATGCCAATTCGCACTTATGCCAGTTTTTGCAACTGCTTTGCACTTATGTCAGTTCGCACTTACAACAGTTCGCACTTGTGCCGGTTTTTCTAACTGCTTCGCACTTATGCTAGTTCATACTTATGCCAATTTGCGCTAATGCCAATGTTTGTAAATTTATTCGGCCAATTTGCACTTATGCCAGTTCGCATTTATGCCAGTTTCTGTAACTGCTTTGCACTTATGTCAGTTCGTACTTAAGCCAAATCGCACTTATGCCAATGTTTGTAAATTTGTTCGGCGCACTTAGCCAATTCGCACTTATGCCAGTTCACACTTATGCAAGTTTTTGCAACTGCTTTGTACTTATGCCAGTTAACACTTATGACAGTTCGCACTTATGCCTATGTTTGCAAATTCTTATGGCGCACTTATGTCAATTCGCACTTATGCCAGTTTGCAATTATGCCAATTCGCATATATGCCTGTTTGCACTTACGCCATTCGCGCTTATGCCAGTTTGCACTTATGAAATTCGCGCTTATTCAGTCGTCCCCTTTCAAGAAAATACCGCGTAGTTGTCATAATTTAAAGTTAACCAATCACATTCCATTTTTAAAAAAACTATCTAATAATATTGCTACAAAACGTCATTAACAATCAAAGTATTCCAAATAAAAAAATCTTAGGTTAGAAAAATTGATAAACATTATTTACTCCAGCTATATTATTCCATTTAGATTACACTTAAAAAAGTTTTACGTTTTATAACCATTGAAAGAATTTTTTTTTTACCTATTGTTAAACTGATTAACATATCAAAACCTCTAAGAACTTTTTTAAATACTAACAGTGCCGGCTCGAGCAAGCGCGAGGCCCGACGCGAATTTAGTTTGCGAGGCCTTCAATGAAAGCCTAAAAAAAAGGGAGGGGTTTAAGAGTATTAATGTATGAGGGTAAAATCGTATTTTTATATATAATTGTCTTTTAAATATAAAATATATAAACATATATAAATAAAGTATAATATATAATATATAAAAACTCACCAGTTATTATATTGAACAAAAATACATGTTGTAATATGTTTTTCACAAAAATCATATATTATGCACATTATTATTTTTATTTTGATTATTATATCTTCTATAAAAAACTTAAAAAAAATTCCGCCTAATTGGGCCCTGCAGGGCTTTTTTTGGAAAGCTAGAGATAAATATATACCTCTTTATCTAGTTTTCCACAGAGCTATGCGAGGCCCCTTTAGGCGCGAGGCCCCACACGGCCGCATTGCTTGCATACCGTCTGAGCCGGCCCTGAATACGTAAAATAATGAGGTATGTGAAAAAAAATTTATGTTGTATGAATATGATAGCAGATTTTAGTTTAAAGAGATGTTCTTTTAGTTTTAAGATAAGAGAGATGTTGTTTTATTCTTTAATAAATGTGTCACATTCGCTAAAAAATCTATTGTACAATTTGGGTCACATTGATGTTTAATTAAACTAGAAATATTATAATTTTTAGTACACCTTATATTAAAAGACCTTCTCATTGACTGGTTATTTGCGCTCATATTAGATGCAACACTATTAATTTTAAATTTTATTTATTCAGTGTAATTTATTAAAGTTTTCTAAAACTCCTCCATAAACTTCCATAACAGAATAACTATAAACTTCCATAATATCTCTATAAACAGAACTTCCAATTTAATAATATGCTAAAGTTTATTTTCATCTTGCATTTCTCTAAGCAAAAACTAAAATATGATTAGCTTGGCCATAATGTGGCAGACGTGTATTCAGGCACCCCCTTAGTAAATCCGTAAAAAT